CTCCGGTGCGGCTCACTCTTGGATTGCGTCCTACCTCACAGGTCGCTCCTACCAGGTGGCGTGGCGAGAATCTGTCTCCGCACCACGTGCTCTCACCACTGGTGTCCCCCAGGGCTCAGTTATAGGCCCTCTCCTATTCTCTCTATACACCAAGTCACTTGGCTCTGTCATATCCTCACATGGTCTCTCCTATCATTGCTACGCAGATGACACACAATTAATCTTCTCCTTTCCCCCTTCTGATAACCAGGTGGCGAATTGCATCTCTGCATGTCTGGCAGACATATCAGTGTGGATGACGGATCACCACCTCAAGCTGAACCTCGGCAAGACGGAGCTGCTCTTCCTCCCGGGGAAGGACTGCCCGCTCCATGATCTCACCATCACGGTTGACAACTCCGTTGTGTCCTCCTCCCAGAGTGCAAAGAACCTTGGCGTGACCCTGGACAACACCCTGTCGTTCACCGCTAACATCAAAGCAGTGACCCGATCCTGTAGGTTCTTGCTCTACAACATTCGCAGAGTACAACCCTACCTTACACAGGAAGCGGCACAGGTCCTAATCCAGGCACAGGTCATCTCCCGTCTGGATTACTGCAACTCGCTGTTGGCTGGGCTCCCTGCCTGTGCCATTAAACCCCTACAACTCATCCAGAACGCTGCAGCCTGTCTGGTGTTCAACCTTCCCAAGTACTCTCACGTCACCCCGCTCCTCCACACACTCCACTGGCTTCCAGTTGAAGCCCGCATCTGCTACAAGACCATGGTGCTTGCCTACGGAGCTGTGAGGGGAACGGCACCTCCGTACCTTCAGGTTCTGATCAGTCCCTACACCCAAATGAGGGCATTGCGTTTATCCACCTCTGGCCTGTTGGCCCCCTTACCTCTGCGGAAGCACAGTTCCCGCTCAGCCCAGTCAAAACTGTTCGCTGCTCTGGCACCCCAATGGTGGAACAAGCTCCCTCATGACGCCAGGACAGCGGAGTCACTCACCACCTTCCAGAGACACTTGAAACCCCACCTCTTTAAGGAATACCTGGGTTAGGGTAAAAGTAATCCTTCTACCCTCCCCCTACCCCACCCCCAAAAAATACAATTTTTTTTTGGATATATTGTAAAGTGGTTGTCCCACTGGCTATCATAAGGTGAATGCACCAATTTGTAAGTCGCTCTGGATAAGAGCGTCTGCTAAATGACGTAAATGTAAATGTAAATGTATAAAAATGCATACAAAACATTGGGTGTACACGTCCATGTAATATAGCCTATGCAATATGATTATTAGGCCATAGCAGTGTGTTTGTCTGCAAGGCTGAAGAAAGACGTAGCTCCTCATTACATTAATTCTTAATCCTCATTTTCAAGCTGTTGGCTGCACTTCCCTTCTCAACACGCTAACACAATATGATTGATTCGTTTATCACATTTCCGTGACCTATACTAATTGGTGACCAGCCCGAATGGGCTTATAAAACATGATAACAAGTATGTGTGCACAAAACATACATTTTACATTACACAAATTAAATGCATGTAACAATTAAATGAATAATTAGCATTCACAATAAAGTACAATTTTCAACTTGTCACACTACACAAACAATACACTTCTCCTTCTACCCCAGGCTTTGAAAATAAATTGTGAAATGTCAAAAAGTCCCTTTCTGTAAAATAACTCCAGCCTGTGTTCATCCTGTAGCCAGAACACTTCAGGTTGAGCACCAAAAATGTTACCAAACAGAACATGTCTCAAGTCATCATACAGAGGGAAATAAAACACAAAATGGACTTCACTTTCTATTTCCCCAAGACAATCTTTCCTCTTCAGGGATTCTGTTGAATCTACCCGTCTCTAGTGCCAGAGGGAGGGTGCCGCATCTTAGCTGCACACAAACAGACCTTTTTCTAGATTCATATTTACAAATGGTTCAGGCCTGTATTTCTCTTTGATAAGAGTATACATTCTAAGTTTAGGTTTAAACCAAATATCAGCTGCCCATTTTTCCTTGTGGATCAGAAAAAGTTTGTCCTTGCTTTGGACCACATGGCAATTTGCTCCTGAATATATATATATACTGCAAATCAGTTTGACAAAAACTAGATAATTCTCTAGCCCACAGATAGTTATGAGTAAGGTTCTGGCATATTTATCAGTCTATTCCATAGACATACCATGTCACCCTTTTGCCTAACTACACACAGTTCCCAACCCATACCTCCGCAGATGGCCAGGTTTGGAGTCAGTTTGTGCACACCAAGAAAGCAGCAGATTGCTTTGGATCCCCATACCCCAGTAGCATAGTCCATCACCGGACACACAAGATTGATACAGCTGAGAATAAGCACAGTAACCACGGTCCTTACATCATTTAATTTTGTTTAACACTGACCCCAAGGCTCTACCTGTATAATCTGCTAGTGATCTAATGCCATCTTTAAAGGTCATGTGTTCATCCAAGTCATTTATAGAGCCCAGTGTAGAATAATGTGGTTGTCCCAAAACAAAAGTTGTGTGCACTTCTCTGCACGCCCTTCTTTCTGAAATGATCAACTTCTCTTGATTTATCGCTAGTTTCCATTTAGTACACCATACATTAACAATATTCAACATATACTGGAGGTCATCTTCGGTCTCAGCAAGGAGAACTATGTCAACAAGATGCCCAGGAATATATCTGCAACTTCAACACTAAGTTTAGCATGTTTGATTTGTAGGGCTAAAACGAACATATAGTGCAAATAAAGTGGGTTTGGAGTACATCTCCCTGCTTTAAACTGTAAGGGGTTGGAAACAGACAGTACTGAGGTCACTGACCTGAACAAAAGCAACTGGAGCCAGATAAAGAGCTTTCATAGCATCAGAAAATATGACATGAATTGCCATTTTAATTGGTCTAAAAGCAAGGTCTCTATTCACCCAATCAAAGCATTCTGAAAATCAATAAAACAGGCAAAAGTTGGTTCACTCTTGAATTCTATCCCAGACCACTGTAGAGACAGTATAGATGTGGTCTATACACGCTCAGACTTTCCTAAAGCCATTCTGTTAATCTGGAAGCTGACCAGACAGTTCTAGGTAGTGGGAGAGCCTGTTATTTAAAATGCAGGAATACAGTTTACATACAGTGGTAATGTGACTAATCCCTCATTAGTTCAAATGAATTTTAGGGTAGTTTTTGGAGGATTTGGGGATAGGGTTGATTATGGATTGGTACCATACAGATGGAATAATGCCATTCTCAAAACAAGAAGGAAGAGTTCAAATAATATTTGGAACAACGTAGGTGATTACAAAACTTCATTAGACAAACCAATTCCTGTAGCTTTCTTTGGTTTAGCACGCTAAGCCACCTTTCTGACCTACTCTAGGTTAAGACTGGCATTCAGATACTGGTTAGGGGAGTATGACTGTCTGCATTTCCTCCTCCAACTCAAATCTAACATAAAAGGGCTGTTAACGCCTGAAAGTAAAAGTGCATAATCTCTTTGCCATTTCCCAAAAACAATATCAGTTTGATGGTGAAACTCTCAATTTTCCAATGCAATTTCCATATTAAATGTATCTCCCTGGAAAACCGCTGTGGGTTGTTGGTCTGTAGCTGTAAATAAACTTAATTCTACATTTCAAAAAAGGAAAAATACTAAAGTGGGATTTGAACCCTTGCCACAATCTGCAACAATTATGAGCTATGCGCTCTACATTGTGAGCTATATGAGCAGTCAGTCAAATGCATGTGATCTATACCGAACAAAAATATAAAAACAACATGTAAAGAGTTGGTCCCATGTTTCATGAGCTGAAATAAGAGATCCCAGAAATGTTCCATACGCACAAAAAGCTTATTTCTCTCAAATGTTGTGCACAAATTTGTTTACATCCCTGTTTGTGAGAATTTCTCCTTTGCCAAGATAATCCATCCACCCTACAGGTGTGGCATATCAATAACTGATTAAACAGCATGATCATTACACAGGTGAACCTTGTGCTGGGGACAATAAAAGGCCACTAAAATGTGCAGTTTTGTCACAACACAATGCCACAGATGTCTCAAGTTGAGGGAGTGTGCAATTGGCATGCTGACTGCAGAAATGTCCACCAGAACTGTTGCCAGAGAATTGAATGTTAATTTCTCTACCATAAGCCACCAACTTCGTTTTAGAGAATTTTGCAGTACGTCCAACCGGCCTCACAACCGCAGACCACGCCAGCCCAGGACATCCACATCCGGCTTCTTTACCTGCGGGATCATCTGAGACAAGCCACCCGGACAGCCGATGAAACTGAGGAGTATTTCTGTCTGTAATAAAGCACTTTTGTAGGGGAAAAACTCTGATTGGCTGGGCCTGGCTCCCCAGTGGGTGGGCCTCTGGCTGCGCCCCTGCCCAGTCGTGAATTACATATATTAGGGCCTAATGAATTTATTTCAATTGACTGATTTCCTTATATGAACTGTAACCCAGTAAAATCGTTGAAATTGTTGCATGTTGCGTTTATATTTTTGTTCAGTATAGTTGTTTATCAGAACGTGCCGTTGGACTTCTGTTAAGTATGCTTTCATGAACAAGTGTTGGATCACGTCGACGATATTAATTGGCTGATACGGAATTTGAACCGGATATAATCACGGCCAGGTGTGAAGGTTAGCACAGGGCTAAGTTTGCCAGGTTATCTGATGGCAACAGCTAACATAACGTTTGACCACATGTACGTTGACGATTGTTATTCGCTGAGGCTGATTTTTAGACGGAGCAAAAGTTTAAACTTAAACTTTTCTAATGTTCGCAAGTATGGCCCCACAGAAACTATGTGGTGAATACTTGTTTCATGTTGTTCTAAATCAGCTTTAGATAGCCTAATCTGTTCAAAACATAAACTAAAAAAAAAAAGACAATATACACACTCACCCTTGCAGATAGACAAAGGAAAAGGACTTACAAAGCCATAAATAATTGTTTTACATAAGTTCTATATCAAAACAATCCACCACTTTTTCCAAAAACAATTTTAGAAAAAAGTTTATTCTTGTCAAAAATAGTCACTGATTTATTTTGAAACAAAAGACTGGTAAACAAATCTTCAGGATCTTACAGTAGATCACTGACATTTCACTTTAAAAACAACACGGCACGAAATAAACATTTTGTAATGTAAAAAATGATATCTTAAAAGACAAAAGCAAGACAGAGACTGGACAGATGTACTCCCTTTTTAATTCCCTATAGGCTGTTCAAGCGAAACAGTAGTCAAGGTGGGCCAGCAGTTCTCTGTGCTGACTGGTGGCGTATGGAGCTCTGCACTTTGGACACTCCAGAAAACTCTCGTCCAGGAGGTTTTTGGAGGGTGAGGTGGCAATTGGATCCTCAATGGAGAGCCTCTCAAACTCAGGCTTGTTGGAAGAACTTGGCTCAGAAAAACGAGACTCTCTCTGCAGTTTCTGAAAATGAAAATAATAAATACAAATCTATCAATTGGTCTACAGTCGCTTATCTGAAGATAGCAAATGTTTTCATGATGGCTCATTTGAAAAGCAGAAATGTGAAGAATTGAAGTGTAAAGCAACATGTCACAACACTTACTTGATTGCTAGATTCCAGTCTTGTGATTTGGTCCCGAGCCCTGCGCAGCTCTTTCAGGACCTTGTGCAGCTGATGCTGTAAACTCTGTCGATCAAGCTTCTCGTTTTCAAAGTCTTTGGCAGACAGCTGGATCTGGGAGGAATAGACAAAAACAAAATCAAGAGAGCACTGCAGATCTTGGACGTTGCATTGCATAAGAGATGTTATATAACTAGGTAGTTCACAATCTAGAGTCAGGAACGGTTTACGTTGCCAATACCTGCTGCTCCAGTATAGGAACTCTCCTCTGCTCCTCCTTTTGGTTTAACAGAGATTTCTGGAGTAGATTCACCTGAAGAGAAAAGTATTTTAGTCTTAAAAATAAAATAAAGAGATTGGAACAGTGGGAAAGTGTACAAGGGGGCGAAGGTAGAAGGGCACAGATGGGAAAGTGGCCGAGAGAAAGGGATCAAACTCTTCTCCAGGGGGTATACACGATATATACAAAAATATGTGGACACCCCTTCAAATGAGTGGATTCGGCTATTTCAGCCACACCCGTTGCTGACAGGTGTATAAAATCGAGCACACAGCCATGCAATTTCCATAGACAAACATTGGCAGTAGAATGGCCGTACTGAAGAGCTCAGTGACTTTCAACGTGGCACCGTCAAAGGATGCCACCTTTCTAACAAGTCAGTTCATCAAATTTCTGCCCTGTTAGAGCTGCCCCAGTCAACTGTTAGTGCTGTTATTGTGAAGTGGAAACGTCTAGGAGCAACAACGGTTCAGCCGCAAAGTGGTAGGCCACACAAGCTCACAGAACGGGACCGCCGAGTGCTAAAGTGCATAAAAATAGTCTGTCCTCGGTTGCAACTCTCACTATCTAGTTCCAAACCGCCTCTGGAAGCAACGTAAGCACAATAACTGTTAGTCGGGAGCGTCCTGAAATAGGTTTCCATGAACAAGCAGCCGCACACAAGGCTAAGATCACCATGCTCGCCGCCATTGGACTCTGGAGCAGTGGAAACGCGTTCTCTGGAGTGATGAATCACGCTTCACCATCTGGCAGTCCGACGGACGAATCTGTGATTGGCGGATGCCAGGAGATCACTAACTGCCCCAATGCATAGAGTAACTGTAAAGTTTGGTGGAGGAGGAATAATGGCCTAGGGCTTTTTTTTCATGGTTTGGGCTAGGCCTCTTAGTTCCAGTGAAGGGAAATCTTAACGCAACAGCATACATTGACATTCTAGACGATTCTGTGATTCCAACTTTGTGGCAACCGTTTGGGAAAGGCCCTTTCCTGTTTTAGCATCACTATGCCCCGTGCACAAAACAAGGTCCATAAAGAAATGGTTGGTCGAGATAGGTGTGGAAGAACTTGACTGGCCTGCACAGAGCCCTGACCTCAACCCCATCGAACACCTTTGGGATGAAATGGAATGCCCAACATCAGTGCCCGACCTCACGAATGCTCTTGTGGCTGAATGGAAGCAAGTCCCCGCAACAATGTTCCAACAGCTAGTGGAAAGCATTCCCAGAAGAGTGGAGGCTGTCATAGCAGCAAAGGGGGGACCAACTCCATATTAATGGCCATGATTTTGGAATGAGATGTTCAAAGAGCAGGTGTCCACATACTTTCGGTCATGTTGTGAATGTCAATAAATCCCCAACTATATTGAACTGCTCAATTAAACTCCAACCTCTCCCCGGCAACATTTCCACAGGCCGTGGTTGCAAAAGAGAATGCTTTATAATCAACTCACCTGGTCAAACAAAACTGCATAATAAAGACACCAAGTCCACATCTCCCTGGCGTATAACAATACCTGCAGCAGCAGCTCGGCAGACCTCTTCCTCTCGGACGCCAGGCTGGCGTCCATGCTGTCCAGCTCGGACCTCATCCTGTCGGCGCGGTCAGCCGAGCACTTCCTCTCCTCGCCGACTCTGTGTCTGCTGCTAAGGTGCTCGGCCTGGAGCTGCTGCCTGGCCTCGACCAACTCCCTGCAGCGCTCCTCGTACCGCCTCTGGAGCTCACCCAGCTCCCCCTGGGCCTGCGCTGCCGTGTCCTTCTGGGCCTCCACGTCCCGCTTGGCCTGCAACAGCAGCTTGTCGTAGTACTCCTGCAGCTGGGACGAAGACTTCTCTGGTGCTGGGGAAAAGGAAGTAGGGTTCGAATATTATAATAATTATTAAGGATAATTATTTTAACCACATGGGAAAAAATGTCTAGTCTGAAATCAGCCTTTATAATGTATTTTGGGATCTGCCGATTTAACGGTGGATTTACTCTTGACAGCAAACGCGTGCCAAATCCCACACTGCGCTGAAGGCTCAGAGGACTCTTTTTTTACCGTCTGAATTGCCTTCTTTGTGTTGTTGTTGGAGTGCTTGGTTGGCTTGATTTAGTTGCTGCTCGAACTCAAGGGTTCTGGCCAGGACTGCCTTGACATAGGCCTCTCGCTGCTGATCATAAACCAGCCACTGTTGGTTGTTCTCCAAAGCCTTTCGTAACCGAGGAAAAACACATACTTGGGGGGTTAGGGTTAGATTATAAAATGTTCCTTTGCACTCAAAGAAAGACACCGATGGCATTTTTAATCTCGACAAGTTGTTCAACTCACATCTCTCAAGTGATCCTGAACTACTGCAACCTCACCGGTGGGGACCTGGCCATTATCAAATCGTAAAGAAACACAGGTATTAGCCTATATCAAAACGATTACATAGGTGTAAACAAGATACAATCTTTTTCTACATGAAGACATGGTATGTTCTATGTGAGTCTGTGGGAGACTATTATTGGTTGCTAAGAGACCCTTATAATCAAATCATAAAAAGGGAAGAAAGCTTAACCCAAAGCATCTTTTAGTTACAGTATGTACTGCATCCAATAATCTAATGCCTTGGGTGTCCTTTAACCAGTCAGTGACCCAGCCACTTCTTAGCAGCGGCAGTAGTAAGACTGGCTGGGATATACACTTACCTCCGACAGTGAAGCATTGAAATAAATAAATTATATATATACAGTGGGGGAAAAAAGTATTTAGTCAGCCACCAATTGTGCAAGTTCTCCCACTTAAAAAGATGAGAGAGGCCTGTAATTTTCATCATAGGTACAAGTCAACTATGACAGACAAAATGAGATTTTTTCTCTCCAGAAAATCACATTGTAGGATTTTTAATGAATTTATTTGCAAATTATGGTGGAAAATAAGTATTTGGTCAATAACAAAAGTTTCTCAATACTTTGTTATATACCCTTTGTTGGCAATGACACAGGTCAAACGTTTTCTGTAAGTCTTCACAAGGTTTTCACACACTGTTGCTGGTATTTTGGCCCTTTCCTCCATGCAGATCTCCTCTAGAGCAGTGATGTTTTGGGGCTGTCGCTGGGCAACATGGACTTTCAACTCCCTCCAAAGATTTTCTATGGGGTTGAGATCTGGAGACTGGCTAGGCCACTCCAGGACCTTGAAATGCTTCTTACGAAGCCACTCCTTCGTTGCCCGGGCGGTGTGTTTGGGATCATTGTCATGCTGAAAGACCCAGCCACGTTTCATCTTCAATGCCCTTGCTGATGGAAGGAGGTTTTCACTCAAAATCTCACGATACATGGCCCCATTCATTCTTTCCTTTACACGGATCAGTCGTCCTGGTCCCTTTGCAGAAAAACAGCCCCAAAGCATGATGTTTCCACCCCCATGCTTCACAGTAGGTATGGTGTTCTTTGGATGCAACTCAGCATTCTTTGTCCTCCAAACACGACGAGTTGAGTTTTTACCAAAAAGTTATATTTTGGTTTCATCTGACCATATGACATTCTCCCAATCCTCTTCTGGATCATCCAAATGCACTCTAGCAAACTTCAGACGGGCCTGGACATGTACTGGCTTAAGCAGGGGGACACGTCTGGCACTGCAGGATTTGAGTCCCTGGCGGCGTAGTGTGTTACTGATGGTAGGCTTTGTTACTTTGGTCCCAGCTCTCTGCAGGTCATTCACTAGGTCCCCCCGTGTGGTTCTGGGATTTTTGCTCACCGTTCTTGTGATCATTTTGACCCCACGGGGTGAGATCTTGCGTGGAGCCCCAGATCGAGGGAGATTATCAGTGGTCTTGTATGTCTTCCATTTCCTAATAATTGCTCCCACAGTTGATTTCTTCAAACCAAGCTGCTTACCTATTGCAGATTCAGTCTTCCCAGCCTGGTGCAGGTCTACAATTTTGTTTCTGGTGTCCTTTGACAGCTCTTTGGTCTTGGCCATAGTGGAGTTTGGAGTGTGACTGTTTGAGGTTGTGGACAGGTGTCTTTTATACTGATAACAAGTTCAAACAGGTGCCATTAATACAGGTAACGAGTGGAGGACAGAGGAGCCTCTTAAAGAAGAAGTTTCAGGTCTGTGAGAGCCAGACATCTTGCTTGTTTGTAGGTGACCAAATACTTATATTCCACCATAATTTGCAAATAAATTCATTAAAAATCCTACAATGTGATTTTCAGGGAAAAAAAATCTCAATTTCTGTCATAGTTGACGTGTACATATGATGAAAATTACAGGCCTCTCTCATCTTTTTAAGTGGGAGAACTTGCACAATTGGTGGCTGACTAAATACTTTTTTTCCCCACTGTGTGTGTGTGTGTGTGTATATATATATATATATATATATGCCACTATACTCCAGCATTTTGGATTTTAGATGTTTAAATGTTTCATACGAGGCGACAGTACATAGTCGTCTTTTATTTTAGGGTATTTCATACATATCCGTTTCACCTTTTAAAAATGAAACCACTTTATGCATTTAGTCCCCCAATTTGAAGTCATAGGTATTTGGACAAATTCACTTAAAGCAGGGGTGTCAAATTCATTCCATCGAGGGCCTAGTGTCTGCAGGTTTTTGGTTTTTCCTTTCAATTAAGACAGACAACCAGGTGAGAGGAGATCCTGACTAATTAGTGACACTATTTAATTAATCAAGTACAAGGGAAGAGCGAAAACCCGCAGACACTTGGCCCTCCATGGAATAATTTTGACACGTGACTTACAGGGTTTTTTCAGCATCAAAATGGGGCTTAGGTGGTGGGCGTGGCCATGGGCATGGCTAATGGTGCAGTCAACGACCCAACATTTTAGAGGCCCTCCTGTTGGCCACAGTGACAAAATGTAGCTGTTTTAAAGCTAATTTCCTGCAATTCTACCCATTTTGCCAAGAGGATGAGATTTTTTTGTTGCAGTTTTAAAGCTAATTTCCTGCCATTCTACACATTTTGCAATGGCTTATGCTATCTGAGTGACTCAAACATTATAACAACCCCATGGATTTTGTTATAATGTTTGAGTCACTCAGATAGCATAAGCCATTGCAAAATGTGTAGAATGGCAGGAAATTAGCTTTAAAACTGACAAAAATATTCCTGAGAATTTATGGAATTTTGTATTCTCCCCGACTGTCTAGCTTTTATTTTGGTGATTGTTAGTTCTCAAAGATGATCTTATTTTAAAATATATGGGTCCATTATCTTTTCTACATACTATGGTTTTAGTCATTTAAGTTTACACTGAAAATGTTTTTCCATCCAAAAAGTATTTAAAACAAATACTGTTTAGACATAGGTGGCCCGAAAAACACTTAGGGGGCCCGCCGAATACTTTTCTATGCAGAAAGAAACCTACACTTAAAGTGTATTAAAGTAGTCAAAAGTTTAGTATTTGGTCCTATATTCCTAGCACGCAATGACTACATCAAGCTTGTCACTCTACAAACTTGTTGGATGCATTTGCAGTTTGATTTGCATTATGTTTTGCCCAATAGGAACTGAAATGGTGAATGATGACTGGAGTCATTTTCTTTGTGAGTAGATGTTTCCGAACACTTAGAAAAATAATGAATGAATCATGAATAATGATGAGTGAGAAGGTTACAGAGACTATAACAAAACATGCTAACATCTCACCATTACCAATAACAGGGGAGGTTAGCATTTCTGGGGGGGTATGATATTTATGCCTCCAACTTTCTCACTCATTATTCACGATTATCCATAATCATGGTAGCATCCGCATAAATGTATAAGTGTTCAAAAACATAAATAGAAGGGACTCCAAAATTACACAATACATTATTCACTATTCAGTTCCTATTGGGCAAAATATAATCCGCACACAACAAAAACAAAATGAAAATGCATCCAACAAGTTTGTAGAGTCACAAGCATGATGTAGTCGTTGAGTGCAAGGAATATGGGACCAAATACTAAACATTTGACTACTTTAATACACTATAAGTGAATTTGTCCAAATACTTATGGCTTCTTCAAATGGAGGGACTAGACACATAAAGTGCCTCCATTTCTAAACGATAAAACAGATATGTATGAAACTACTCTCAACTAAAAAGGTGATATTCTGTACTGTGGCATTATATGAAGCATTCTATATAAAATCAAAAATGCTGGAGTATAGAGCCAAATTTAAAATTGTAGCTTAACTGTCCAAATACATACGGAGGTGAGTGTACCCACCCCTGGAGATAACATGCACAGTTTGAGCTACTCCAGGAAGTGATATTGCAGGCTAGCGCAGTGCTGCCCCCGCTCATCGAGTATATAAAGTTGAAGGCCGACCGGGGTACTGCAGGCTGACATTAGAAAGTAAATTATCCTTAGAACTTCTGTGTGCGATTTTTAAATAATCGGTTCAAGGACATACATCTAGTGTATTAGAAGCAATTATTAGTACCATGATTCTCTTCGAAACATTTTTTTATTTACAGATGATTGACCACGAAGATCGCCATTTTTCCATTCCCTATAATGGGAGATCCTGTCTTCTAACAATGCCTGCAGTACCACAGTCGAACTTGAACTTCCGCGGCTTCAAGGAGAGGGGAGCAGTCGTTCTCCCCTGGCTCAGGCCCTTAACTCCACCTCGAGAGAAGTCATGGGTTCATAAGCTCGTGAACTTCTTCCAGATGGTTATCCCGTCCTGTAATACCAAGACTGACTGAGCATATGGGGGGAATTATGTACAGTATGGTAATGCCCTCGGTGAGGAGGCCCTGTCATGACCTCATGGTTATTCGAAAGTTGGAGACAGAGATATAAAACGAGCTCTCTCTATGAATAAGACTACTGGTTTTCCTCATATCACAGAGCCACCTGATCTGAGAGTAAACAAGTATTACGTCAGAGGACATGACATTCAGAAAGCAACTGCTGCCATCTAGAGTGTAAAAATAAAATTTCTCTTTGAGTTTTGGAATGCCCCATAACCACAACATTCATACAGGAAACTGTAACATTTGAATATGGAGGACCAACAGTGTCTTCTTGTCACACATACACTGCATGGCCAAAAGTATGTGGACACCTGCTCGTCTTTCATCTCATTCCAAAATCATGGGCATTAATATGGAGTTGGTCCCCCCATTGCTGCTATAACAGCCTCCACTCTTCTGGGGAGGCTTTCCACTAGATATTGGAACATTGCTGCGGAGACTTGCTTCCATTCAGCCACAAGAGCATTAGTGAGGTCGAGCACTGATGTTGGGCAATTAGGCCTGGCTTGCAGTCGGTGTTCCAATTCATCCCAATGGTGTTCGATGGGGTTGAGGTCAGGGCTCTGTGCAGGCAAATCAAGTTCTTCCACACCGATCTTGACAAACCATTTCTTTACAGTTGGCACTATGCATTGGGGCAGGTAGCGTTCTCCTGGCATCCGCCAAACCCATATTTGTCCGTCGGACTGCCAGATGGTGAAGCGCGATTCATCACTCCAGAGAACGCATTCCCACTGCTCCAGAGTCCAATGGCTGTGAGCTTTACACCACTCCAGCCGACGCTTGGCATTGTGCATGATGATCTTAGGCTTGTGTGCGGCTGCTTGGCCATGGAAACCCATTTCATGAAGCTCCCGATGAACAGTTCTTGTGCTGACGTTGCTTCCAGAGGCAGTTTGGAACTCGGTAGTGAGTTTTGCAACCGAGGACAGACTATATTTACGCGCTACAGCACTCGGCGGTCCCGTTCTGTGAGCTTGTGTGGCCTACCACAACGCAGCTGAGCCGTTGTTGCTCCTAGACATTTCCATTTCACAATAACAGCACTTACAGTTGACCGGGGCAGCTCTAGCAGGGCAGAAATTTGACGAACTGACTTATTGGAAAGGTGGCATCCTATGACAGTGCCACGTTGAAGGTCAATGAGCTCTTCAGTAAGGCCATTCTACTGCCAATGTTTGATCTACGGAGATTGCATGGCTGTGTGCTTGATTTTATACACCTGTCAGCAATGGGTGTGGCTAAAATAGCCGAATCCACTAATTTGAAGAGGTGTCCACATACCTTTGTATATATAGTGTACATTCTCACCATAACTGAGCCTAGGTTAACAAAATGGATCAAAGTCTAGGCCCCCTCAGCAGCCTGAAGATTCCTCTCACCGACCTGTACATCAGGACCCTGTTTCTCCAGTGCCTGACACCTTGCAGACACTGCCACCAATTTGTTCTTCAGATTCCCTGTCTCCTCCGAGAGGGAGTGGAACAGTTTCTCTCTGTGCTCGGCCGCTCTCCTCCCCTGGTCCAGCTGAGCCTGGAGCGAGGCCACCACCTCTCCCCCACTGGAACGCAGATGTTGTCTCAGAGTCTCCAGCTCCTTGTCCTTGGCCAACAGCTGCTGAGTGTTCCTCTCCCGCAACGTCTCCAGAGACAGAATCCTCTGCAATCAATTGCAACATTTTAATGAATTGAATGAAATTTGGTAGTGCACAAAAATGTTTAAAATGAGCATATCACAACTCAGTCAAGGCAGAATTTCAAAAGCAACGGTTTACAAAAGGACACACCCATGATGCTCAGAATGCTAAACCCAGACTTCTACAAAGTCATATGGTGAAAGTGAATGATGGTCACAACAAGTTTATGAATATATTGAGTGAAAAGGTTGTTTTGGTTTCAAATATTTCCTGTTTATGGATGTAGGCTACGTCATCACTACTGTATCAACCACATTACATTTGGACTCTATAACGTTATAATAATCATTGGGCTGGCAATACTGCTTAGCCTAAACGTCTCAAAATAGTATTTCTGCACAAGCTACTATGCCTTGTCATGTTGCTACCTCTAGCAGTTTGCTTTTGTCAGAGTCTGGTGGCCTCGCAGTCCGTTTTGATATTTCATCCATCTTCAGCTTCAGATGAGCATTTTCCTTCCTGAGTCTGTCCATTTCCACTTCTGCCTGTTTTGAGCCACTGGATTTAAAGCCTAACTTGTTGACAATGGTCTCCTTGGTGCCTTTTGATGCCATGTTTGGAGTGTTACCTAGAAAAACGATTTTGAAGTTTGATGTCAATACTATATCGTTAACAATTAAATCACTCATCTCATTCAATGGCACATCTACATATATCTAGTTAGGTAGTCAATATAACAGGCAATACTAAAGTCTGTTTATTTCATTAGGCCTAAATGCAATTACATTTGCCCCTGCACAGTGAGGCCTAGTTATTGAAATTGGCATTCCAGACAAAACATTACACTCAAGCAAAACACCAACAGAATAACATTGTTAACCGAAAAAAAGTTTCATAGCTAACTTTACAACTGAATGTGATAGCTAGCTGGCTGGCTAACAATTTGCTAGAATTCGCAGGCTATATATTGTTCTTGAGTTGGTGGCTAATGCTAACTAGTGACGTTACATGCCTGTCAAAAGTATCTGGTCTGGCTAGCTCAAAAATATCTGGTCTGGCTAACAACACAGCTAGCTAGCAATCCGTCCTTTGCTAAATAAGCGTTTGATCGTTCAACCCAAACTGTTTTCTAGTGTTAAGAAAACATGTATGTATGCATCTTTAAATATCTATAAAATATAACTCACAACGTAGACCTCTGTTTCTAAAATAACAATCTAGGACGCTTGACTTCTGAGAATGAAACAGCCACTTCCTAGCTTCCAAATTGAAAAGTTTGAATGCAGCGCGTCTGGGCGTCACTTCCGGGAGTCAGATCATGACGCTGACACTCCTTTTTTTTATCAACCACCACTAGATAGAGACAGAGTGCTTTTATTGATCAGTCCAATAATAATAGAGCACCAATAAGCTTGTCATTAAACAGAAATGAACGGCCAAATATGAACTGGAAAAATACGATTAGCTCAGTCTATATTTATTTTGGTCCTATCTATACATTAATATCCTCCTTTAACAGTGCAATGCAAGTACTATCACCTTTTTTACAGTATTTTCCTACTTATTTCACTGAGCCAATCTTTTCCTCCTCTGTCCTCTGTCAACACTTTCCACAGGATGGCAGCACACTGCCATTCCCAAAAAATCCACACCTACCCAGAGATCTGTATAATGACGAGATGCTCATGTCTCCGCCCTAACAATGGGAGTCGTTGCCCCAAAAGCAGGAAGGCAGGCGACAAGTTTAAGGTCCAAAATAAGCCCATAAAACACATTGGTCTTATTTTGGCGAGAGTAAAACCTCTCGCTTAGCCTCTTCCTCTTTGACCCACCCTTTTTATTTTCCTAAATTAAACACGGGTACAAATTGGTGCTGTTAGCTTTAGTGATGGGGTGGTGATGATGCTGCGCGCGATTCGGTTTTTAAAGTAATTCCAGAACAATACAGATTCCATAAGTGAGTATCATCATGTTGCGGGTTGTGGTAGAATCTGCTAAAGGTATACCAAAAACTAAACTTGGAAGTACTCCGGATCCCGTAACATCTATTATTTTTAAAGGTAAGCAAGTGCACTTACTTTTTATGTCCCAGAGATTATCTTTCTGTATCTTGATCCACAACTCTTATGGGCTACTCCATCTCATTACAAATAGGAATGTCATAACGTTTTCTTTTTTTGCATTAATTGAGAAAGAACAAAGGTTGTGAGATGCAGAATGATAATAGTGTAACCTATCGATTGGTTAAATCAGGATGTACTCCTTTATAGTAGGCAAAAACTTTTCATTGGACCTAAACTGATGAATGTATCAATTCAATATTACCTGAGTTATATTGACTGCATTGGCATTATTTTACCCAGTAAAAGTTGCTAAGAATTTAATACTTTCGTAGCAACTGTAAAATGTGACTGAAATAAGTGAAACAAAAAAAACTTTATTTTCAGATGAAAAGAAGAAAACCAAATCAGTTGACAGTGAAGTAAACCCAGTTTGGAATGAAGTAAGTACTTTCTGTTCAAACAGAGTATTTGTCTTTGGGAAAGTTGTATTGCCAAAGCAAGACTAGATATGCTCAAAATAGCTACAACCCTGATAGTACTAATGTAGGCTTCTGTATAATATTGTCATTGCCTGCTCTCTAATAGGCGTAATAATATCATTTGTGTGTACCTCAAACACCTTGGCAGTGGCAGTGCCCCTGATTGATAAGTAATAAATGTCATGTTTGATTACAGGTCCTTGAGTTTGATTTGAAGGGCTCTGCGCTTGATTCCTCATCTTACATTGATGTGATTGTGAAAGACTATGAAACTATTGGAAAAGATAAGTAAGTGGCGCACACATACAACTCATCCTCAACACACCAGGGGTGTAATCATTAGTCCAAACATTCCGTTTTGCAACTAAAACAAGAGTTTCTATTGGACAAATTCAGGTAAGACCCTCACTGTTCCGTTTGCTTCCATTTAAGAAATGTTTTGCAACAGAATAGGGGTAATAAATACGCCCCTGCACTAATAGGGGGATTTGGGAGAGGGAGAAACCCAGCTTGCTCCACCTCAATAAAACAGAGCAGAGACATCCTCTAAATGAAGTTGCAGAGAGCTACCTAGTCTGCAATGTGATTACAAGTGGTGGTAGGACGTCTACAGGACTTCTACGACTACTACAAGATCTCTTAATCAGTTCAATATTACTGAAGGTATACTGTAGATTAAACCAACCTCCTGCAAATTAACCCCCAAAGGGAAAGGGTCAACTGCAGTCTCGAAACAGTTCGACAGAGCTACATAATGACAGAAACAGATCAGGGCTTGTAGCATGGCATACGATTCAATTCCCAATATCTACTGAGAGTACTACAATGCATTCTAGGGATAATGTTCATGGAAAAGTAAGTTAGCGTAGCCACTCTTTCAGGAGACCTCATTGTTGGCGCAACATGTAGCTCCCACATCCTACTTGCCATGCTCAGACTTCCATGCAGTGAGTGGGAGAGGTGATCCGTCTTAGGCAACAATGAATGAATCCCTGTTTGTTCTGTTGGGATGAGCTGTATGGCACTTGCTGATAGGGGAAGATTGTATTCAGTTAGGACGAAAAAGTCGGGAGAGTTCAGGCCACTAAGTATAGACCAAAGTTAAAATGTTGTGGTGTCTGTCTAGTATTTTCCATTCACAGAGGAAAAGACAGAGGAAAAGAAATATGGTAACAATCTGGAGACATAACTACAGAAAAAGTTTCCACGGTTTTGCCAATTCAAATCATGAAAGCGTTGTATGTTATGAAGACAACACATACAGAATGTCTATGTTTTAGTGAGATTAATTCAGTAAAATGATAATGTCTGTGAATCCTGTGTATGTAACATTTGAAATCAGATGTATGATTTTCCAGTTTTGTCAGTTATATGCATGCGTCAGTGCAGGCCATGTGATGTGAGTAAAGCTTTCCATTGAGTTAGCCTAATCTGACACATGTGGGGGCGTACAGGGACTCCTCTCTCACATAGTTTTCCAGGGTCTGTTATGGTACTTTGTAACCCTAGCAACTTGGGAGAGAAAAGTTTAAGCTTGTGATTCTTGACTTATTAGATTTGGGCAGGAATTCCTCAAATGACCCAAAAAAACAACATCCTCAGGTTTATTATCCTGCATTCCAGAAGATTATCACTCTCCAGAGAATTCAAGTTTCAGCCTCCTAGATAGAAGTAGAAGTGATCAGTCTGAACACTGCCTAGGAAATGTAATATTCCCCATGAGCAGAGTGACCAGTAAAGATCAATTGCAAAGTGTAAAAATATCAATTACATTATTAACAATAGCCACCTGGATTTGTAATAGTATCCTGTCTGTAAAAACATTCATCATGATTGGAGGGTACAGGTGCAAATCCTTGGAAGGGTTGTAACCATTTGTTCATACATAGGTGATGTAGTACAGCAAGTAATATCCTGGTAAGTTTTTCTCTCCAGAATCCTGTCCTTTGTGGATGGGTTTAACTGGGTGGGTTTGTTAACTCTGGGAGGAGGCCTCCCCTGTGCCTTTTATCATGGTGTCATCACTTAGCACACAAAAGTGCCCACTCATTCCCACAGATCACAGTGAAAGCTAGCAAGTAATATATGAGAAGATGGCGTAAACTGAGGTTTTGTTTGAAACTGCTAGTGAGTCGGGTGAAGATAATAGCACAGAGAGTGAAAATGAGTGGGTTACAGTGACGAAGAAGAAGTGAATCAAGAAAAGGAAAGTTGTGGTGGAAACCCCTAGATTCGTTTTTTTGTCAGAGTGAGGGTGTTGGATCAATGATACCTGGGAAATCCGTTTAACATCTTGAGGAAAATCTGGAATGTGTTGGAGGAAAGTGTAGAGTTGGTGAGAGTCACAAGAAGTGGTCAAAAATATATAGATGTGGAATATCAATGGGGTGATTTCTGGGGTGGCGCAAGAAGTAAAGGCAGATGATATAACTGAAGACATTGATGGAGTGGTTGGTGCACGTCGACTGATCCGTATGGTGGATGGAGAAAATAAATTCACTTTCTCCATACTACTGTTCTTTGAAGAGTCTCTCCCATCTCATATACAGTTAGGATTCATGAGATACCCTGCAAGAGCTTTTGTGCACAAGCCCCTTAAGTGTCATAAATGCAAAATATTTGGTAATGTGTCAAGTGTGTGCAGAAAGGAAGAGTCGTATGCAAGATGAAGTGAAATGCTGCAATTGCGGAGGCGAACATGCGTCCAAATTCCTGGAGCGCCCTGTTAGGGTGATGGAGACCGAGGTGGCAAGAGTAAGGGGTGTTCAGCGTGTCTCCTATCTGGAGGTGGTGAGAAGAGTGGAAGGAACGAGTGGTAGTAGAGCCACCACCACCAGTGAAGGTTTCTCATCAACCCAGGGATCGTGAAATGTTACATGTTAAAAAGGTGGACTTTGTATTATTTATTGCAAAGTTCATAAACTGTACATCACAAGTGGAGAATCATTCAGAGAAAATTGGAATCATTGTGAATGCAGCTTAACGTTTCTTGGGTCTTCGTGATTTCACAGCCGAGGCCTTGCAAGAAATCCTGTCGGTGAATGTTCCGCCCTCACAGGCCCCTTAGCCTGTGTAGGGATGTATTTTGGAATGGACTGTGATTGAATAAGTGGGATGGGTTTTGTTTGTTGACGAGTCTATTTTTGTATTTTGTGTGATGTCATTTTTCCCCCTTTGCCACAATGGATTTTTATTTTCTTGTTGAATACCCCGTCCAGTTGGTGGCGGTAATGCACCATTAAAATTGGATGCCAAACGCCATCGAAGAAGAACAGATCACAGTGCTCAAGAACTCTACTGATAAGGATATTGCTGCAGTATTTTCATTTCTTACATGCACCTGTATTGTTAATCAAAGATTGAACTATACATTATTAAAAGTAATTTCAACCCTCACCTTTGTATAGTATGAAAGCTGTATTTGTTTTTACAGCTAGCCAAATCTGAAGTTTGCCTTTGTTTTGTAGGTTTCTAGGCTCTGCAAAAATCTCACTGAAAGACCTTGCAACTGGTCAAGTCAAATCCTCTCCATATAAAGATGTGGCTCTTGTCAATGAAAAGGGGCAGGCTATTGGGGTAAGTTTTTTTTACTGAGGGGATTCTATTAAACTGGCCCTGGGTGCACCGGTCTATGGCCCGTCATGTGACCGGGCGTAGCCGGTGAGGGAGGCGTGCCCTGCTCAAATCGAACAGCAATCTGCGCCGCTTGGTTATGTTGTCAACAAGGCAGTTCAGAAACATACAACATCTCTTTTTCATAAAATATGTTCTAATTAGTTTCAATTGGGAAGGCAGATAGTGTTTTTATCAAAAGCAATCACTCATTACTCCACGTGCTTAACCTATGTCACTTTTGTTTTGAGCAGACTTCGCCGGCGGCCAGAACGGGGCAGCCAGCTCATGCCCCGGAGGCAGCCCGGTTCCAAAACGAATGCAATCACTTTTCACCCGGTGCAAACTACGCCTACCCAAGCGCCTGGGCCATATTAATACAATCCCCTCACTAGTTAATAATGGAGAGTGCAGCTACTCACCAGCTACCAAGGATATGGGAAAAACAATCATGCAATCAGCTAAAATTGAAACACCTGTTTTCCCTGTGATCCCTATTATCCAATTGTAATTCTACAGTTAATAGCATAACTACAATAACCACATGAGCATAACAAATCTTGTGCAATTTTCCATTCTGTATTTTGATATCAGCATGTTTTGATGAGATGATTGATATTGATTCCACCAATTATTCACCTTCCAGGCCACGGTGAGCCTTTTGATTCGCTATGACCCTCCAGCCAATGCCGCTCCAAAGCCAAATGACCCACAGGAAGGAGATACAGCAGGGGATTCTGGTACGTCATGTGGTCTGTAGTGCCACAGTAGCGTTTGTCGTTGGGATCATGGAGGACTTTTGTTTGCTCAGCCCAGTGGACGAATACTTTGATTGCCAAAAAGACTTTGATTGTAAAAAAGAGCTGTCTGGTATGCTTGTCTTAATCATCAAAATAAGAAAGAAACATCAGGGAGCAATTAGCATTTTTGCTTTGTTTAGCTGTCAACCATGAAGTCCCATTGACAGTGGCAGGATTATGAAAGGCCTATGAGTTTATTTGGATTCTTGTATTAGCTGTTACTTCAGCAACAACTAATCTTTGGGCAGTTGAATGTACCTTTATATCTGGTGACTGGTTGAGGTTGTGCTGTGTGTGTCTGCAGTAGAAGGTGGAGGTGAAGAGAAGGATGAGGACTTTATTGATGGAGGACAGAGTGGCTGTGCAGGGGGAGTCCCCTCCCCTGGTCAGCCTGGGAACCCTAACCAAAGACTGGTCAGGAGTACCAGGAAACGGAACCGTCCCCTGGCCAATAAACCCCAGGACTTTCAGGTGAATTCTCCCAAAGCGGTTCTAACATTATATCTAAACACAATTGTCATACTGCTTAACAACCCTGTTCTCATTCTCATCTCTTACCTTCAGATCCGTGTCAGGATCATAGAGGCGCGACAGCTCCCTGGGAATAACATCAAACCTGTTGTGAAGGTGAATGTTTGTGGACAGACTCACAGAACAAGGATAAAGAGGGGAAACAATCCCTTCTTTGATGAGGTAAAGGCAGGCATATTGATTTAACTTGAGTAAGTCCATGTGTGCTTATCAAATTGAGAAATGACTGCAGGACGTTTGTCCTGAAGTTTTATGTGGCTTTGCCTTTCTCATTAAACCACCCAGATTAATTTCTCTTTACAGATGTTCTTTTACAATGTCAACATGTTACCATTAGACCTATTTGATCAATATATCAGCATTCGGGTAAGTTGAACTCGATGTTAGTAATTTGGCACTAACTGATTAACATTCAGATACTATGTATTGAATTTCATTCTCGCTCTAATATACCGTACTCTCCTTCTGTAGGTATACGACTCCTTCTGTCTGAGAGCTGACAGTCTCATGGGGGAGTTCAAGGTACTCCTCCCTTTCCTTCCACCTCTTATTAAAACATTCAAGGATTAATGACATGAAAGAGTCCAACTTTACATTCCATTACTCGATTTATGTATTTTATCAGTCTGAGGTATTTCCCATCTTTCTTTGCTTCCCACAGGTTGATGTCGGCTTTATCTATGATGGACCAGGTAGGTTTGTGGAGGTGACTCTCTGTATTTGCAAACACTGTGTCTGATTTACATTTGCTCAATAGACGGGTTGGTTGTTTAGCACGGACTTGGCTTAGACTGTTAACATGTAAACTGTATTTAGTCTCAATGTTTACTAAAAACATAAATACATTTGCAATATGAGCACTTGTCTCTCAAATACATCGTTACAGTTCTTGGTTAGCTAGCAAACGGATTTGAGCCATATTAGTATAGACATGACATCAGTCAAAACACCTCAAAACAAGACATGGTATCAATAACAAGATGAAACAAGCCACCTACGATTCCCCACATGGCAGCTTCTTGTCATTGTTGCTAGCTATCTGACTTTTCAGAATCATAAAAACGCACACCTTCCGGCCACATTGATGTGTGCGCATAATTTTCATGATGACAACTCGTCTATGAAGGTAAATGTTGTGCCTGTGTGTCTCTGTCTGTCTCACAGCTCACACCATAATGAGGAAGTGGCTCCTTCTGAATGACCCTGATGACTGCAGCTTGGGGGCCAGGGGATACCTCAAAGTCAGCATGTTCATAGTTGGGACGGGAGACGAACCACCGGTACAGTAATACGTTCAGTAATACAGCCTTTAGTTTGGGTTTACCTCTCGCAGTTCCTCAGTGTTTCCCATATATGCATTGATGCGCCGCTGCTAAATCGTGGCCTCCACTGCAATTAAAAATAAATATATAATATAGATGTATATGCCCCAGGAAGACCCCATACACCCCCCCCCCCCCCCCCCTATCAGATTTGCATGAAAATAACGTCTGTCCCTATCATAGCAAAGTGTGACACCAGTGTGTGTTTGTGGCTTCTGCAGGTAGAGAAGAGGGACGTTACTGATGACCAGGATGACATAGAGAGTAACCTGCTGATGCCAGCAGGGGTCACTCTGCGATTGGTCACCCTGTCGCTCAAAGTGTTCCGGGCCGAGGACATTCCCCAGAGTACGCCACTCCTATATCTAATGTTGTAGCTATCATGTTCTGCTGCTGATGTTGTGATTGACTTGTTATGCTTTAAGGTTCTTCAGCCTAACTTTTAAGTGCTTGCTCTCTATGCTGAAGATAGGTGTGCATCTGCGCTAGCTATTCATTTAGAAAAGTGTCTAAATCTGGATCTCTTGAAACGATGTAAGATTCAGATTGATGTATTTACTTGCCTCTCAAACTAACTTAACCAGTGTGTTTATTTCATAGTGGATGATACCTTTGCCCAGTCAGTGAAGAATATGTTTGGAGGGGATGGGAACAGGAAGAATCTAGTGGATCCTTTTGTAGAGGCTCGTTTCGCTGGCAAAAAGGTATTCACATTCCTCTCCACACAACTCAAATCAAGGGGAGGTTTTGTTTATTATGGTTGTGCAGTGAAGTTGATATGTGAATGTTTGTTGTAGCTGTGCACCCAAGTCATTGAGAAGAATGCCAACCCAGAATGGAACCAAATGCTGAATCTTCAGGTCAAGGTAAAAAATTAAAATAAACGCACTTGTGCACTGGATTTCTGCTTTGGAAAATTGTGATTCAAAACGATGATCTTACAAAAATCTTTCTGCAGTTCCCTTCAATGTGTGAACAAATCAAACTGACCATCTTTGATTGGTAAGTCAACAGTAGCTCCTCTGCTGAACACTAATGGTGGACATATGTATCCATTTAAATCATTTCATTTGAGCTCTGGCAGTTTTGTCCCACCTCACTGTTTTATAACAGTATTCAGATGCATACTTTCTAAGGTCCTCAGTTTTTACACAAATAGGGCCAGTAATTTTTCCTGGTCACATGGGTCAAAAATACCTCAGGAAAACCGTTATGTACATAGTGTATAGTCAGCCCCCTTAGAGTGCCTCCCTAGTGCGCTCTCTGCTCCCTGCCTGTATCCAGAGTGTGGTCAGTCAGTTATTTGGCCTGGGAGGAACTCGGCAATACTATAAGTCACATTTCAACAGCCACTCCCTGTTCCAGGCTGGGATCCTGTTGGCAGGGAAACACCACTGTAACCTTAGTCTGTTGCTAGTGGGAAATCAGGGCAAGTCAAAGGTTAGGAAAACAGTGTGTCTCCTAAATGGGATGAAAGTGAAGTTCACGTTGTTGGTAGATCATTTAATGTTGTGATATTACACTTCTTATGCAGGGATCGCTTGACTCGGAATGACTCAATTGGCACCACGTACTTGAATCTGGCCAAAATAGCATCCTCTGGTGGCGAAATTGAAGGTATGGTTCGATTGAGGTCTATTACACTACACCACACTATTTCTCTCTTTCACTATCTGTAGCTCAAGTATATGATTTCTATGCCATTTTCATTGTAGCTTCTAGTATAATGGTGTTGCCTAATTACAATATGTCCACTCACTTTGGTTGTTAAATGAATAGATCTACACTATTCATCTCTATACTCCATTGTCACTGTCTAATATACAGAACATGCATTTTATTTTCCCTTGGTATAGACGAACATGCGGGATATGGGTTCTCTCCATCACTTGAAGGTTCAATAGATTCATAGATGTGTGATGAATTATTAAAGTATCATCCAGTGCATAAATCTCTTATTTTGGCCCAGTACCACTAACAAGTCATGTCAAGGATACTGCAATTTGCAGTACTGTATACATCACATTAGTAAATTCTTCAGATTGTAGCCCAGCATGACGTTTCAAAGAATTTAGAATGGAGTTAAAAGAAATGAGAATGGATCCAATTTGACACAGAATTTGACCCCAGACAATGATTACTGCACTGGAGTTACTTTGCGAATGTGTGACTGCCATGATTTGTGCCCGGTCCATTCATTTCTGTAGCCCTTTGAGTACAATAGCATGATATTTGAGTGACGTGAACACATATCATTTCAAAGTTCTCCTTCCTTGGTACTCAAAAGGTTACAGCAAACCATCTTTCTTCCCCTAACCTTCCCGTCTAACCCTTCATATTCAGTTATGGAATTTTGTGATTTTAATATCATTTGCATGCTTTGTTTGTGCTGTCACAGAGTTGCCTGCTCTCCTTTTTTTTTTGCCAAAGATGGAGAGCAAGCTCATGTGTTGCATTTGACCGCATATGACCCCTGTGAGTTTGCCCGGGCAGATACCCTAACTGTAGTTTTTGTAGATTTGCTACCGCTGTGTTAACCATTCCCCATCCAAGACATCAGCTTCTGACATGCAGAACTAACTCCACAGCTCTGTGCAGCTCATCATTTAGACACATTAGTAAAAAAAAAAAAAGCTATTTCCTCTACAGGGAAGACTGGGGAGTCTGAGGTGGGTTTCCTGCCAGCCTTTGGGCCTTGCTATGTCAACCTGTATGGGAGTCCCAGAGAGTTCACTGGGCTTCCTGACCCTTACGAAGAGCTCAACTATGGCAAGGTAGGTCCTGCAAGGGAAATTAATACATCTCTAAGCTTGGAGATGTTGACAGTTCTCTACATTTGGACTTTATAAACTAATGTTGACATTCAAATGATCTATACTTTTCTTTTTGACAGGGTGAAGGGGTGGCCTATCGAGGAAGAATCCTGGTTGAGCTCTCAACTAAACTGGAAGGCAAAGCTGACAAGACTGTGGATGTGATCCCTAGTGATGACATCTTGGTGGCCCAGGTACATTTACATTTTTGTCATTTAGCAGACACTCTTATCCAGAGCGACTTACAAATTGGGACACTGTAACCTACCTCCCATTGGCTCTTGATCAATTTTACCTTACACTTTTCTCCTGCAGGTATGTCCTGTTTTGGTGTATATGGCCAAATAAACAAAATACATGCTACATCTTTGAATAATAGTTATTTGAAATGTAAATCAATGAATATTTTTTTCATCTAAACCAAACAAGTTTTATCTTCTGATCAGAAATACCAGCGTAGGAGGAAGTACTGTCTGTGTGCCGTGTTCCACAGTGCCAGCATGCTCCAGGAGCCTGGCGAACCAATCCAGTTTGAGGTCAGCATCGGCAACTATGGCAACAAACTGGACACCACCTGTAAACCGCTGGCCTCCACTACCCAGTACAGCTGTGCTGTGTTTGATGGTAAAGGCCTAAGCCACCTTAGAAATTAAACTCATCTGGTTATTGGTACCTCTACAAGAGTATGGGAATTGGACTAATTAGTTTATTTTAAACAGGTAACCACTACTATTACCTGCCCTGGGCTGACACCAAGCCAGTGGTTGTCATCACATCATTCTGGGAGGACATCAGTCACCGTTTGGATGCAGTCAACATCATTCTGTACATATCTGAACGCCTGGTAAGATAATGTGTTAAATGTTGTTTTTTGCCATGGCAGATTTATTCATAGTATGAAAATGTATGCACACTACTATAAGTTGATCTGGATAAGCGCGTCTGCTAAATGACTAAAATGTAAATAGTATTCTAATATTTATACACTTTATTAATATTATTCAAAGAATGTATGAATACAATGTAACATTTTAGTCTATTGCTCCTTTCCTTTCAGCAATCTAACATCACTGCAATGAAGACGGCCATCTTGGCTAAAGCCTCTGACAACCGTCTGGCAGAGATCTGGCTGAGGCTGGTCAGTCAGGTGATCGATGATCTCGACAGGTAAATGCTTCCTTGTTTAATGGATTTAGTTAGTAAACACTGGCATAATCTGTTTCAAAGAATAACACCATGCTGATCTAGCTCAAAGACAGCAATGATAACTCTTAACCCAGTATTTGTATCTAACCCAATCCCCATCATACCAGTTTCAAAGTTCCAGACCTGGAGGGCCAATCCAACCTGACTGCCCTGGACATCCAGATCAAGAAGTTGCGTGACAGCGCCCTGCAGACCATCATGGAGGGGGCCAAGCGCATGAGAGACGAGGCCACTGAGATCAAGGACACCCTGGGGGACATCGAGGGCTGGCTGGACAAACTGAAGCAGCTCGCTGAGGAGGTAGGTCAGAGGTCAAGCTGTTTGTCTGGGCATGATATATACTTTTGGTAAACTGCTATCAATAATCAGAGATTATAATGGCCGAAAATTGTGGCTATAGCCTCTTTTCACTTAAGTATTTTCCATGTACAATGCCCTCTAAATTACCTTTTGAAGGTAGTGATACAGTTATGTAGGGTTGTATTAAAACTGGGGATGTACAGTAATTGACATTGTGTGTACATGTGTCCCTCCAGCCCCAGAACAGCATGCCTGACGTGATCATCTGGATGCTGAGGGGGGAGAAGAGAGTGGCGTACAGCCGCATCCCAGCCCACCAGCTCCTCTACTCCACCTACAGCGAACAGGCCTGTGGACAGTTCTGCGGCAGGACCAGGACTATCCTCATGCAGTACCCAATGGATAAAAACAAGGGTCTGAAGGTTCCAGTCCAGATCAGAGTCAACATGTGGCTGGGCCTGTCTGCACACGAGAAGAAGTTCAACACTTTCTCTGAGGGGACATTCAGTGTGTTTGCTGAATTGGTATGGTTCTATGAAAATGACTCACTTTTGATTGTTGAACTTAATAGAAATGGAGAAGAGTGTTGTATAAAGTGTTTTTCCCCTTTGGCAGTATGAGAATCAGGCCTGCATGCTGGGAAAGTGGGGAACTACGGGTCTGGGTTTACGCTACAAGTATTCTGACATGACTGGCAAACTGAAGCTGAAACGGGAGTACTTCATGCCCCCGCGAGGCTGGGAGTGGGAGGGAGAATGGTTCATTGACCCAGAGAAGGGGTAAGACGCATGTTTGTTTTTTTACAGTGGTGAAATTTCAGGAATCTGCCCTCTTTATCACAATCAAAGGAAATCAGAGTCATGTTCATCAGACCGGGCACACCATTGTGAAATGTTTTGAAACAGACAATACAATATTTTTTTCGTATTGGACAAGTCTAGGTAGTCCCTCCCTGTTTCTGTCTCTTTTCTTCCCTTTGGTGCCTAATGAACATGCTGCCAGTTCTTTGGTTTGCATTTTTCTTATTACATCAACCACCCGTTAGTGAGGCGTGTTGTTGTACCAGGTCTTTTTAAGTAGGTCTAGATCTGTGTAATAATACATTTTTCTGTGTTTATGTACAAGTCTGTTGACAGAGGCAGATGCGGGACACACTGAGTTCATGGATGAAGTCTTCCAGAACGAGACTCGCTTCCCTGGGGGAGAGTGGAAGCCTGCTGCCGAGCCCTACACTGACGTGGTTAGGGAACACGCGCGCACACACACACACACACAAACACACACCGGTGTTCAGGTTGCTGAGGTGTTGTTGGTTGTGTTTGCAGAATGGGGAGAAGACCCAGAACCCAGGGGAGATAGAGTGTCCTGCAGGCTGGAGCTGGGAGGCTGAGTGGACCGTGGATGACAACAGGGCTGTGGACGAGAAAGGTCTGCTTTCACACTGATCTCTACAACACTGCTTGACCTTGCAGTGGAGGACTTGACTTGAAATTGGGATTTCTAATGTGTCTACTACTGTAGGAATGACTTGTAGTATTTTCAAGCATTGTGAATGAATTTATAATGAGTTTATCTGAATGCAGGCTGGGAGTATGGAATCACCATCCCTCCAGATGACAAACCCAAGTCTTGGGTGCCAGCAGAGAAGATGTACCACGTCCACCGACGGAGGAGAGTGATCAGGCCCAGGAAGAGAACATCAGCTGCTGGTACAACCACTGAGGTCAGTGCACTGTGCCAATAGGAAACTGTTTGTCTTGAGAGATCATAATCAAATGTTGTGGGTGTCTAATATATTTTTACCCCCCTTTTCAGAAGCGAGACCAAGGAGACCCGGAGGGCTGGGAGTTCTCCTCTCTGATTGGCTGGAAGTTCCACAGGAAGGAGCGTTCCGCCGACACAATCCGACGCAGACGCTGGAGGAGGAAGATGGCCCCCGCCGACCGCCTAGGGGCATCCGCTATATTCAAACTGGAGGGGGCGCTGGTGAGCAACTGGACAACTCTGGTCCTCAGGGGCTGCAGCTTCTGTTGGTTTTCTCTCCTCCCTGGCATGAAGACAATGTCTTGTCCAACAGTTGTCCATCCCTGTTGATTCATTCTGAGGGATTCTTGATTGTCTTTGCAGGGGGTTGATACAGATGAGAAAAGGAAAGATGATAAGGTTGATGCATCCAAGCTCTTTGTTGCCAATACTCCCACTGTTTCCTGTTCATTTGACAGTGAGTGCTTTAGTTTTTACATAGTTTGCATGGATTTCTCTCTGTCTGTGATACTGGCCTTAACCTTGGTTTTCTTTCTGCAGGGTCACACGTCTACCACCTCCGCATCTATGTTTACCAGGCCAGGAACCTTGTTGCCATGGACAAAGGCAGCTTCTCGGGTCTGCACATCTCCTTGTCAAAAATCATCTTTTGATTTGGTGAAAGTTGACACGTGAGATATTATGAAAATGTGGACGTATTATCTAACACACAACATGTTTTTATCTCATCCTAGATCCGTATGCCCAGGTGTCCTTCCTGCACATGAGTAAAACCACAGAGACCATGAAGGCTACTCTGAACCCCACGTGGGACCAGACCCTGATCTTCCATGACATGGAGATCTACGGGGACCCCCAGAACATTGGCCACTATCCCCCTGATGTGGTGCTGGAGTTCTATGACAATGACCAAGTGGTGGGTGTGATCAAAGTCCCTTCAGTCACTCCGGTTAAGAGTTATCAATACAGTGCCCTATTAACTGTGATTGTCATCCTGGCTGTAGTTGGTTAACATGTTGCTCTCTGCCCCAGGGGAAACATGAGCTGCTGGGTCGGAGCGTGTGTGTCCCCCTGGTGAAACTGAACCCAGGCATGGACCAGACCCCAAAATTGATGTGGTCCCCCATCACACACAAGGGTGAACAGGCTGGGGAGGTGCTGGTGGCTGCTGAGCTCATCCTGAAGGATAAGGTGCAGTACCAGAAGAGGATGTGTAGCAGTATTGGTTAGTGGGGTAGGCCTATAGGAAAGAGGTAATGTATATCGTGTAAACGCTCTTCCTCTCTGTCTCCAGGGTATCGGGACGGACCTCCCTCTGGTCCCTCCCAAGAGGGCGGAGAATCTGTACATGGTGCCTCAGGGGATACGGCCTGTGGTGCAACTCATGGCCATTGAGGTAAACTACAATACTTCAGTAATGTCATAACATCCCACAGAAATGGCAAGTTTACCTGCAATTTCCCACTTCCCACTGTATGTATTTTGTTACCCAGCGCGTGTGTGTGTGTGTGTTCCAGATTCTGGCCTGGGGGTTGCGCAACATGAAGACCTACCAGTTGGCCACTGTGTCCTCCCCTAGCCTGGTGGTGGAGTGTGGAGGAGAGATGGTTCAGTCTGCTGTCATCAAGAACATGAAGAAGAGCCCCAACTTTCCTGGATCCGTCCTCTTCCTCAAAGTGGTAAGAGCTGCTTGCTTGGGATCTCACAGGCATGTGTGTTTTTCTGTTGTAAAATGTTGACAGTGCTAATGGGCTACACATGTAGGCATCCTCTCATTCCCTCACTCAGGGGTTGATGTCAAAGTTGTTACATCTTTATCCTCAGCTCCTTCCCAAAGAGGAGATGTACACCCCTCCCATCGTGCTGAAGGTGATCGACCACAGGCCATTTGGCAGGAAGCCAGTGGTTGGACAGTGTACCATAGACACTCTGGAGGAGTTCCGCTGTGACCCCTACATCATCCAAAAGTCATCCATGTCATCCAAAGGTAACTATTGTCTCTATCTGACACACTTACTTAAGACCACCCTATGGTGAGATTGAAATAATTTCCCAACAAATATGAGATATACATAAGAAATTGTCTCTCCTTGTCTTTGTTAGTGGCTCTGATGGCTGCTTCTCCTCGGGACATCAGAATTGACATGGAAGACAGGAGGCCTCTACTTGAAGCTCAGGTATACTCTGGCATTTGAATGGGAAATCCCTCTCAAATTCACCATATTTTGTTGGACATTACACTCTCTTATGAGAGTTTTTAAGATCTATTCTATCTAATAAAATAGTCCAAATTTCACGTTGATACATTGACTTGCAGTTTGTACGGTATATCAGCAGCAGTCAACAAAATGGCCGCCACCTACTTCTCATCTTGTATGTATGGTCATCTATAGTTTAACTCTATAGGCTGGACAATGACACTGCAGGGTTGAGGGTGCCTATCTCAAATCTCTCCTGTGATCCATGTTTATAATAAGAGATGAAATGATAGCTGCGGGAAGGAGTGAGTATGAGCAGTCAAAATGTGTGATTCATCCAAAGAAGTAAATGAAATGAAATATAATCTAATCAAACTTTCAACCTGTTCTTAAAGTTTGAGTTTAATTAATTAGAAACATCTCTGTATTTCCCTATTCAGAACAACAACAAAAAAAAGAAACCATTATTGAAACGATTCTTTTGACTTTGCTTTCTCACATCTTGCTTACTCATTCCTATATTCCAATGGATATTACTGATCAGGAGAACATCTTAAATTGTGTATTATAATTGTAAGCCTTTAAAATGACAGAACTGCAAATGTATACCAGTTCTATTGTAATCAATGATCAACCTTCTAGACAATCTTAGCTTATGCATTGACAGTGCATTCAATAAATGCTCAATCGTGACATGGATCACAATTGGGGATCATTTCATCGAATTGTATAATCATTGTATCAAATAAATACGCTGTTTTCCTTCACTCCACAGCAGATCTTATAACATCTACCAGATTGATCATGCATGTGACACATATTCACATGATTCATGTGACACTGATTCAAAGATTCACTAGCTGGCATTCTAATTACTTAGTTTGTCTCTGATATTGACTTGACACCTTGTTTACTTATGTTTCCTTTCATCCCATTCTCCTTTCTTAAAAGCATGCAGAGAAGGTAAGATATGTAAACTTTATGCACAGCTCTCTATCACAAGAATCACACTGATGTACAGACTTGAATTTGATACTATCTTCGCTATTTCACATTAGGAGAAGGAGACAGTTGATTGGTGGAGTAAATTCTACGCTTCCATTGGAGATCAGGAGAAGTGCCGTCCTTACCTTGAGAAAGGATATGACACTTTGAAGGTGAAGTCTTGACATCTCACACAGAATACACCTGGCCTGCATACATCTGAAGTAGCTGCACTGATTAGTTGGAATTTAGTTTTCTTCCTAGACTCAAATAGAATTTTTGATATAATCTCTGTTTTCAGGTATATGATAACGAACTGGAAGATATTCCTGAATTCAAACAACTCACCGATTTCTGCAGCACCTTCAAACTGCAAAGAGGCAAGAATGAAGATGGGGATGATGATGATCCATCTGTTGTTGGAGAATTCAAGGTGGAACAGCAGTTTATCACCATTGTTTCACAAAATCCCTACACATACTTGTCTCATACACATACATAAAATGCCACATTGGCTCAGTTATACAAATAGATGGAACGCATCAGTCATAAATCAGGCTACTGCTGCGTTCTAGTGGTAGAGTTGATGCATTGCTACCTGTCAGTGATGGCTGACTATGTTTTCAGGGCTCTTTTAAGGTGTACCCTCTATCAGACGACCCGGGTGTTGCTCTTCCTCCTCGCCAGTTCCGTGAGCTGCCTGAAAGCGGGCCTCAGGAGTGCCTGGTCAGGATCTATGTGGTCAGAGGCATCGACCTGCAGCCCAAGGATAACAATGGCCAGGTGAGTCCTGATGTGACTTTGGAATTATGAGGTTCTATCTGCAAAAACATGATTCTTAGATAATTGGCTTTAAAGTTCTAAACCCTCATTGGTTTGACTTTGAATGGTGTGAGCAATTTTCATCTCATATTCCTTTTAACTTTACAACATGAATTGGGGTATTTCGAAAGTATTCATACCCCTTGACTTATTCCACATTTTGTTGTTACAGCCTGAATTCAAAATGGATACAAAATTATAATAATTCTCACCCATCTACACACAATACCCCTTAATGACAAAGTGAAAACATGTTTTTAGAAATGCAAGTTTATTGAAAATGAAATTCTGAAATATCTCATTTGCATAAGTATTCACACCCCTGAGGAAATACATGTTATAATTCCCTTTGGCAGCGATTACAGCTGTCAGTTTTTCTGGGTAAGTCTCTAAGAGCGTTCTCTTGGTAAGCAACTCGTGTATATTTGGCCTTGTGTTTTAGGTGATTGTCCTGCTGAAAGGTGAATTCATCTCCCAGTGTCTGTTGGAAAGCAGACTGAACCAGGTTTTCCTCTAGGATTTTGCATGTGCGCTACTCTGCTTCTTTTTATTTAATAAAAAAACTCCCTAGTCCTTGTCGATGACAAGCATACCCATAACATGATGCAACCACCACCATGCTTGAAAATATGAAGAGTGGTACTCAGTGAGTGTTTTATTGGATTTGCTCCAAACATAACGCTTTGTATTCAAGACATAAAGTTAATTTATTTGCCACATTTAAAGTTTTACTTTATTGCAAACAGGATGCATGTTCTGGAGAAGAAAAAAAATTCTGTACAGGCTTCCTTCTTTTCAAAGTCATTTTTGGTTGGTATCTTGGAGTAACTACAATGTTGTTGATCCACCCTCAGTTTTCTCCTATCACAGCCATTAAATTATGTAACTGTTTTAAAGTCACCATTGGCCTCATTATGAAATCCCTGTGTGGTTTCCATCCTCTCCGGCAACTGAGTTAGGAAGGACGTCTATCTTTGTATTGACTGGGTGTATTGATACACCATCCAAAGTGTAATTCATAACTTCACCATGCTCAAAGGGATATTAAATGTCTGCTTTTTTTACCCATCCACCAATAGGTGCCCTTCTTTGCGAGGCATTGGAAAACCTCCCTGGTCTTTGTGGTTAAATCTGTATTTGAAATTCACTGCTCGACTGAGGGACCTTACAGATAATTGTGTGTGTGTACAGTACCAGTCAAAAGTTTGGACACACCTACTCATTCAAGGGTTTTTCTTTATTTTTACTATTTTCTACATTGTACAATAGCAGTGAAGACATCAAAACTATGAAATAACACATATGGAATCATCTAGTAACCAAAAAAAGTGTTAAAAAAATCTAAATATATTTTATATTTGAGTTTCTTCAAAGTAACCATCTTTGCCTTGATGACAGCTTTGCACACTCTTGGCATTCTCTCAACCAGCTTCATGAGGGAGTCACCTGGAATGCATTTCAATTAACAGCTGTGCCTTCTTAAAAGTTTATTTGTGGAATTTATTTCCTTAATACGTTTGAGCCAATCAGTTGTGTTGTGACAAGGTAGGGGTTGGTATACAGAAGATAGTCCATATTATGGCAAGAACAGCTCAAATAAGCAAAGAGAGAAACGACAGTCCATCATTATTTTAAGACATGAAGGTCAGTCAATACGGACAGTTTCAAGAACTTTGAACGTTTCTTCAAGTGCAGTCGCAAAAACCATCAAGCGCTATGATGAGACTGGCTCTCATGAGGACCGCCACAGGAATGGAAGACCCATAGTTACCTCTGCTGCAGAGGACAAGTTCATTAGAGTTACCAGCCTCAGAAATTGCAGCCCAAATAAATGCTTCACAGAGTTCAAGTAACAGACACATCTCAACATCAACTGTTCAGAGGAGACTGTGTGAATCAGGCCTTCATGGTCGAATTGCTGCAAAGAAACCACTACTAAAGGACACCAATAAGAAGAAGAGACATGCTTGGGCCAAGAAACACGAGCAATGGACATTATACCAGTGGAAATTTGTCCTTTGGTCTAGAGTCCAAATTTGAGATTTTTGGTTCCAACCGCCGTGTCTTTGTGAGACGCAGTGTAGGTGAATGGATGATCTCCGCATGTGTAGTACCCACCGTGAAGCATGAAGGAGGAGGTGTTATGGTGTGGGGGTGCTTTGCTGGTGACCCTATCAGTGATTTATTTACAATTCAAGGCACAATTAACCAGCATGGCTACCACAGCATTCTGCAGCGATATGCCATCCCATCTGGTTTGGGCTTAGTGGGACTATCATTTGTTATTCAACAGGACAATGACCCAAAACACACCTCCCAGGCTGTGTAAGGGCTATTTTACCAAGAAGGAGAGTGATGGAGTGCTGCATCAGATGACCTGGCCTCCACAATCACCCGACCTCAACCCAATTGAGATGGTTTGGGATGAGTCGGACCGCAGAGTGAAGGAAAAGCAGTCAACAAGTGCTCAGCATATGTGGGAACTCCTTCAAGACTGTTGGAAAAGCATTCCTCATGAAGCTGGTTGAGAGAATGCCAAGAGTGTGCAAAGCTGTCGTCAAGGCAAAGGGTGGCTACTTTGAAGAATCTCAAATATAAAATATATTTTGATTTGTTTAACACTTTTTTTGGTTACTACATGATTCCATATGTGTTATTTCATAGTGTTGATGTCTTCACTGCTATTGTACAATGTAGAAAATAGTAAAAAATAAAGAAAAACCCTTGAATGAGTAGGTGTGTCCAAACTTTTTACTGGTACTGTATATGTGTATATAGTTATTATTGCACACAGTGAGTCCATGCAACTTGTGACTTGTTAATTAAGCAAGTATTTACTCCTTAACTTATTTAGGCTTGCCATAACAAAGGGGTTGAAAACTTACTGACTCAAGACATTTTAGCATTTGTAAAAAATGTCTAAAAGCATACCATTTTGACATTATGGGGTATTGTGTGTAGGCCAGAGACACCATTCAGGCAGTAACACAACAAAATGTGGAAAAGGTCAAGGGATGTGAATACTTTCTGATGGCACTGTAGGTCTTGAACATTGTACATCCATAACTGTTTTTCCCAAAATGCAGATATAATCTTAGAATTCTAAGCCCTCGCATTGTCCATTGCGTGTTGCTGCCCTCTTCAATCTTACGCTTACTACCTTGAATCTCTTTTAATGTTGCAACATGTTAACATGTTTGTTTTCTCAATTTGCCTTTCCTTTACAGTGTGATCCTTATATAAAGATTGCCCTGGGGAAGAAGTCAATTGAGGACCGAGATAACTACTTACCAAATACCACCAACCCTGTGTTTGGAAGGTGAAATCACACATTCGTTTAAGTTTACTTACCCTCAAGATCTTGTAATGGATAATATTGTACATTACACTTATACTACATCTCCCTTTTTGCAGAATGTTTGAGATGACATGTTTCCTGCCTCAAGACAAAGACCTGAAGATCTCTGTGTATGACTATGATCTGCTGAGTCGCGATGAGAAAGTGGGAGAGACTGTGATTGACCTGGAGAACCGTTTCTTGTCACGCTTCGGCTCCTACTGTGGCCTACCTCAGACATACTGCATGTGAGGATACTTTTTCCTACTGTAAATCTTAATGTGATAGTTCACTACAAAAAAGTAAGTTTTTCAGACCTCGAATTTGGTGTGGAGTTGAGTGATTGTCCCATGCCATCTGTTGTGTAGATCCAGATATATCATATTTAACAAATTCATAAGAACAAATTCTTATTTACAATGATGGCCTGGCAAAAGGCAAAGGTGTTCTGCCAGTCATTATGGAGGACTGATTGGTTGTGTTGATCTCCCTTTATCAGCTCTGGAATCAACCAATGGCGCGACCAGCTGAAGCCCTCTCAGATCCTTCAGAACCTGGCCCGCCTCAAAGGCGTCCCTCCACCCAGGACAGAAGACAACGGCAACACACTGTCATTCAATGGGAAACAGTACACCCTGGCTCAATTTGGTAATTCATAACCAGGTTTTTTATGGCATTTTCAAAACATTTAACATTCATTTTAGGGACCTGAGGACAAGATTATGTTTTGTGTGACATGAATAGTGCCTTTTTATGTGACATGAGGCAACTTTTACCATCTACATTTAGAGGCCAACAACAAGATCCACCAGCACTTGGGCCCTGCCAACGAACGGCTCCCTCTGCATGTGCTCAGAACTCAGGGACTGGTGCCAGAGCATGTGGAGACCAGGACACTGTTCAGCAGCTTCCAGCCCCAACTCTCTCAGGTCACTGGTCATGTTGTCTTCCTCTTTATCTTCAATATTTCTACCTTCCTATGCTTCCATGTATCTGAGATGAACTGTATTTTTACTCACTGTGTAGGGACGCCTTCAAATGTGGGTGGATGTTTTCCCCAAAAGCATGGGCCTTCCCGGACCACCCTTTGACATTGCACCACGCAAGGCCAAAAAGTAAGGAGAATCGTTTCTCAATTTGGTATTTGAAAATAATCTTGTCTATAACCGTCTATTAATTAATACCATGTATCCATTTAGGTATTTCCTTCGAGCTGTTGTTTGGAACACCGCTGATGTCATTCTGGATGAAACCAGCATCACTGGGGAGCACATGAGTGATGTCTATGTCAAAGGGTATCAATCAATCAATCAAATCTAGACTAACAGTGAAATACTTACTGACCAAAAATGCAGAGAGAGAAATTATAGAAAAATAATAACACAATAAATGCACAATGAGTAACGATACCTTGGCTATATACCCGGGGTACCAGTACAGAGTCGATGTGCAGGGGTACGAGGTAATTGAGGTGACTTGGGTGGCTGAACGCGGACAATTTCTAGGCCCTTCCTCTGACACCACCTGGTATAGAGGTCCTGGATGGCAGGGAGCTCGGCCCCAGTGATGTACTGGGCCGTACACACTACCCTCTGTAGTGCCTTGCGGTCGAATGCCAAGCAGTTGCCATACCAAGCTGTGATGCAGCCTGTCAAGATACTCTCAATAATGCAGCTGTATAACTTTTTGAGGATCTGAGGGTCCATGCCAAATCTTTTCAGCCTCCTGAAGGGGAAGAGGCGTTGTCGTGCCTTCTTCACAACTGTGTTGGTGAGTGTGGACCATGTTAATTCCTTAGTGATGTGGACACCGAGGAACTTGAAGCTCTCGACCCACTCCACTACAGCCCTGTCGATGTGAATAGGGGGGTGTGCTCGGGCCTCAGTTTCCTGTAGTCCTCGATCAGCTCCTTTTGTATTGCTCACGTTGAGGGAAAGGTTGTTGTCCTGGCACCACAATGCCAGGTCACTGATCTCCTCCCTATAGGCTGGCTCATCGTCATTGGTGATCAGGCCAACACGGTCGTGTCGTCAGCAAACCTAATGATGGTGTTTGAGTCGTGCGCTGCCACGCAGTCGTGGGTGAACAGGGAGTACAGGAGGGGACTAAGCACGCACCCCTGAGGGGGGCCCCCGTGTTGAGGGTCAACGTGGCAGATGTGTTGTTGCCTACTCTCACCACCTGGGGGAGGTCCGTCAGGAAGTCCAGGATCTAGTTGCAGAGGGAGATGTTCAGTCCCAGGGTCCTGAGCTTAGTGATGAGCTTGGAGGGCACTGTGGTGTTGAATGCTGAGCTGTAGTAAATGAACAGCATTCTCACATAGGTGTATCCAGATGGGAGAGGGCAGTGTGGAGTGCAATAGAGATTGCGTCATCTGTGGATCTGTTGGGGCAGTATGCGAATTGGAGTGGGTCCAGGGTTTCTGGGATGATGTTGTTGATGTGAGCCATGACCAGCCTTTCAAAGCATGTCATGGCTACAGATGTGAGTGCTTCGGGGCGATAGTCATTTAGACCAGTTACCTTGACGTTCTTGGGCACAGGGACCATGGTGGTCTGCTTGTAACATGTAGGTATTACAGACTGGGTCAGGGAGAGGTTGGAAATGTCAGTGAAGACACTTGCCAGCTGGTCAGTATGCATCCTGGTAATCCGTCTTGCCCCGTGGCCTTGTGAATGTTAAGCTGTTTAAAGGTCTTACTCACATCGGCTACGAAGTGCGAGATCACACAGTCGTCCAGAACAACTGGTGCTCTCATGCATGGTTCAGTGTTGCTTGCCTCGAAGTGAGCATAGAAGGCATTTAGCTTGTTTGTTAGGCATGCGTCACTGGGCAGCTCGCGGCTGGGTTTCCCTTTGTAATCTGTGATAGTTTTCGAGCCCTGCCACATCTGACCAGTGTCAGAGCCAGAGTAGTAGGATTCGATCTTAGTCCTGTATTGACGCTTTGCCTGTTTGATGGCTCGTCGGAGTTCGTAGCTGGATTTCTTATAAGTGTCCGGATTAGTGTCCCGCTCCTTGAAAGCGGCAGCTGTAGCCTTCAGCTCAGTGCGGATGTTGCCTGTAACCAATGTTTTCTGGTTGGGAAATATACGCACGGTCACGGTAGGTATGATGTCATCGATGCACTTATTAATGAAGCCAGTGACTGTGGTAAACTTCTCAATATTATCGGATGAATTCCGGAACATATTTCAGTCTGTGCTAGCGAAACAGTGCTGTAGTTTAGCATCTGCTTCATCGGACCACTTCCATATTGAGCACGTCACTGGTACGGCCTGTTTTGAGTTTTTGCTTGTAAGCAGGAATCAGGAGGATAGAGTTCAGTGTTGAATAATGTTTTAAGAAATGTTATCTATTGAAAATATATTAGGATCTAGCTATTACCATGGCAGCCATACATATAACACACTTGTGGTTTGTTCAAACGCATTACAAACTATATTATTTAACCAGTCAGTTTGTCTTTCCAGCTGGATGCCAGGTATGGAGGAGGACAAGCAGAAGACTGATGTCCACTACAGGTCTCTGGATGGAGATGGCAGCTTCAACTGGAGGTTCATCTTCGGCTTTGAATACCTGCCCGCTGAACAGCTATGTCTGGTCTCCAAGAAGGTGTGTTGAGTCTTGACAAAAATATTACAAACGGAATAGTGTAGTAAGATGAAATGGAGGAACATTTCATTGGCACCAATTTTGCCCGTCTTGCTTATTATCTTAAACAGGAGCACTTCTGGAGTCTAGACAAAACAGAGTTCAGGATACCCCCCAAGTTGATTGTTCAAATTTGGGATAATGACAAGTTCTCATTGGATGATTACCTGGGTGAGACACCTCTCTAGCACTATGAATTAACGTACAATACTTTCTTGATGATGTTGCTTCAGCTGATCAATTTCGCTGTTAACACATAGTTCTGTGATGTTGTTCTGGTCAATATACAGGCACAGTAGAGTTGGATCTGTGTAACCTAAACGCTCCGGCCAAGACTCCAGAGAAGTGCAGTCTGGGTATGATGGAGGTGATGTTGGATGCAGGGCCACACAAATCAGACGGGGCCAAATCGCTGTTCGCTCAGCAGTCTGTCAGAGGCTGGTGGCCCTGTGTCACTGAACAGGATGGGACGAAAGTCCTTGGTGTGAGTACAGCTAAGAGGTCATCGATTTTAACAATTACAAAACTAAGGGACTATAAATCAACCTGGTTTGATCTTTTACTAAACCATGTTTAGTGTCTCTAAAGTAGATTTACTACGTTGCAAATCACAGAGGCATATGTGAAACATTGTGTGGAATAAATCTGAATTAACATCTTATGTGTAGGGGAAGGTCGAGATGACTCTTGAAATTGTGGCTGAGAAAGAGGTGGATGAGAAGCCTGCTGGGAAGGGCAGGGATGAACCCAACATGAACCCAAAGCTTGACTTCCCTAAGTAAGATTTATACTGTTCTGTGTATATTCACCCTTTTATAGGCCTATCAGAAATGTTAACCTCCAATACTATATATAACATATTAAACTCTGTTTCCTCCTCTCTTCCAACATCAACAGCCGTCCGGACACATCCTTCTTCTGGTTCACGAACCCCTGTAAGACCATGAAGTTCATTGTGTGGCGCAGATTCAAGTGGATGTTCATTGGACTAATCCTACTGATTCTAGTGCTGCTCTTCATCGGAATCCTGTTGTACTCTTTACCGGTAAGAACAGGCAGGAGGGGATGGATGGTCAATCAGATTGTGTTAAATAAAATTCCCGTTAAGGAAATAACAAACATTTTGATGTTATTAATGCTTGCCTAATTGCTATTTTCCTCTCATTCCAGAACTACATTTCAATGAAAATTGTGAAGCCATTCAATTGAAAACTCCAGAGGAGCAGAGACCAGTCTTCCAATGTATTTCCAACCAAAAAGATAATTACTATTTTTATGTATTCTAAACTGTATTTGTGTAATATTTCAAATGTATTAAAAAACACTTTGTCCACAGAATGCACAATTGGTATATTGTTCAAACCAACTTCTGCCAGATGTTCTCTTTTCAGAAGTTAATCAGAATTCCTTGAACGTTATGCACTTTCTCACTCTTTTTAATGGATGTTCTGTGCTTTGTAATGAATATTTTTGTGATTATGTACACACTGACTGTTTAAATCTGTTATGTATTGTTTGGAGAACACAAATCTTACAAAAATGTTTTGTTTAAAGGTCATAATAAATTATCATCAGTACGCAAATTGCATTGTTGGTCTTTGGTATATTTTTTTATTTTACTATTCTTAGTTCAGGTGAAAACCCATATCATTGGTAAGGATCATACAGTCAATGGTAAGGATAGGCCTACAGGTAGGGATGCAGCAGGTTAGGTATAGCCTCCTGTTGCCCTAACTCCAGCCAAGCTTTCAATAAAACAGCATGTTTAGAATGTGGATAGAGAGACTGGAATGTCAATTAAAAGGAAATCCATTGTTTTGTAAGGTTTTTAGTTCTTTAATCTTGGGTTTCCATCTATAAAATGTCATCAAATAATAGTTAATTATTGCCACCCAAAACAAAATCTTGCCATTTTCCAATAAACGGAACTACAGATGAATAGGGAAAAATAATCTTAGGCTCCACTACTACAGCAAAGCCATACCACAGAAGTACTGTCTTTGGCCATACCCTCTGTCAGTGGCAGAGGTCGCTGTGCTCTCTCTTAATCTACAGTATGTGTCTCAGAAACATGATTGGTGTGCCTTGACGCAATTTGTTGTCCCTTGTTATTATTTTCGGTGAATTAGAACTGCAAGCAAGGTGGACTTATATTTGTCTTACAGTATCACCTTTGCAGTTTAGTTTAGGCTAGTAATGATTTGATACATGATTAAAAATTACGAAACAGCCTCAGTTTTTGAAGTCCAATAAAGCGGCAGTACAAAGTGTACAGTGAGAGCACACTGTGATCAAATCTACACGTGAACATAGACGGGAAGGACAACTCACAAAATCATAGGATGTCACTGCAATAACATACTTTTAGGTAAATTGATTGTGATGTGGTTTTACTGCATTGATGTAGTTATGTTACAAACTAAATGTTTCTTACTAGAACTCACGACGCTATGAATGTCTTTGCAGGCTCTGCTCCATTGGAACCAGAGCATGTGAGCGGAGTTGAGGCGGTTGGAAATCTCGTACGCTCCATTTCATTTCCTACTGCTCTGCTAAAAACTGCTCAGGGCTCACAGGAAAAAAATAACTGCTGCTCCAAATTCGCTCCATTCCTTAAAATCACTATTTAACCAACACCCATCTATTTTTGTGACTACCTGGACCTACCAATTGGTTTTTAGGGTTTTTAAGTATTGAAACCAAACCTTATGGATTTGAATGAAAAGTATTTGAATACACATGAAAAGGTGAATGTAAGAAGTGGAATGATTTATATAGCAACATAAACTTACTTGTAGTATGCACTTCATGGGAATATGTTTGTTCCTCTCAGATGTAGAAGGAATTCTGGAAAAGCTTGGAGAGGACAAGGAGATGGTCAAAGAATCCATTCTCATCAACTGCACTGAACAGAACAAAGCACAGTTCTCCTTTGATGTTGATAAGAGAATGTCAATACATGTAATAAATTACTTAATGGCATCACAGTTCGTACAGTAAATTCCCGTTTGGAATAATAATCTCATTCTCCACTTACATTGTCCTCTGTGTCTCTTGGGTCAGAGGACAGGTTGACTGACGGTCTCTCTGTGTTATTGTAGGGTCTATAGAGCAGGCTGATGTGGAGGAACCTTCATAGACCTGAGGAAAACCTTCCTACTGAGAGGGCCTGAGGCATCGCTTGTAGCCATAGTGGGTATTTGAGTCAAGTCGCTCCAATCTAGTGTTGTACTGTATTTCTAGTATTGTACTGTACCGTGTGTGTCTCTCTGTGTGTTTGCTCTTATACCTGGGTGTGTGTTTTGATCGTTAGGGGCTTCTGCAGCTCCACTGGGCTGCCCACCCATAGGAACCAGTCTGGCAGTCAGTGTGTGTGTCACAGCAGTGGGATCGCTTATTACCCCATGTTCAATGAGCTATTTAAGAGCTCTCATAACACAATGGGAAAACGTCACACTTCCGCGTTGTCGTGCTGCTTGTTGCGACTTGGCTACCTTCCAAACTTTTTGTTATTTACTTTTAATAACTGTTTAATCAAAACTCTGCATTTAACACATTTACCAACGTCTTAGTTTTTTTCCTCGCTCAACTTTTCTCATTCAACTTTTTCACCCCGGATGCTTTAGTACCTGGATACCAACAACCGAGCCAGGCTACCAAACGCTCTCTATAGAACTACTAAAGGAAAGTCCTTACTTCCAGTGTGTGAGTGTGACTCCAACTGTTGGCCAGTACATGCTGTAATTGTATGTTTTGTATCCCCCACGACCAGTGGCGGCTCCTGAAAAAATTCTCAGGGGGGGCAATGTTTCTGATGATTTAGGTGACCTACACACATTTAAAAAAAGATATGTCCAGCAACAACATGAAGACAGGGGCAGCATATAAGTCAATACCAGAAGCATTTATTGACTGATCTCAAAAGTGTTGGCTTACAAAAGCAAAATAAGTTATCACAGTAAAAATAATCAAGGGTGTTCTTTCACATTCCTCAACACTGCATAAACAATATGCATTTCCATAAAACACCTCATCTAATTGTGCCACAAAGTTGACAAGTCCAAGAAAAATACCAGGGTTGGTGGAGCCCTCAGTTTCATCTTTGCCTCGCAAAGCTAACTCAAACACTCCGCAAAACTTCACACACTGGATTAGCCGGCTGAGGATGTGGCGGTTCTTGCTAACCTCATCGTTGTGGCGGCGGACAGCTAGCCTGTATCCCTCATCCAGTTGAGTGGCAATGTTCACTCTCCCCAAAGCAGACAATCTCAAACAGCTATCCATGTGGGTCTTTGACAGCTCATGTTTCTTAATCTTTTCTGAAAGATGGTGCAGATCCGTTACACCAGTCGCTGTCCAAGCGGTGCTGTCTGCCGTGCCGCCTTCAGGGTGAAAGAGTAAGCAGGGGTAGCAGAAGACTGCATTAGCTACATCGCAGCCTGCTAGCCAGGTTTTTCATTCGTACCAATTTTTGGAAAATCCTCGGGTGTAGGACTTTCCCCCTTTAGTAGAAACCTGTTTAATTATTAAATTTGGTCTGGGAGGTCCTAATTGTTTCGTTGCCAATTTATCTTGATTTGTTCGCCGACAAAAAGGAACTTCTTTCAAAGAGACAATCGAGTTGCACTGAACGCTAGCCATCTTGACAGTAGTACGTGAATTGATTGACGCTGCTACCCGCTCTTTTCTTAGTTACGTTCATGGTTATGTTACGTATGACGAAAGCGCGTAAGTGCAAGCCCTCCCGGAACCCATAGAGATTGTATTGAAAGCTCTGATATTTGAAAAAAAAAGATTTTACATGAGAGTCTATGAGAGACTTCTGGGGCGATTTTCAACCTGACTGAAATCGCCCCAAAAGGGGCGGGGCCATTTGAAGCATGACTTTAGCCTGATTGGACATTTAGTGGCAGATCAGACGTCTAGATTAGAACACTGATAACTACTGTTGCCGTGATATAATTGATTAGAAAAAAAATCCCTTCCTTTTCCCGTTTGGCAGTGCGTCGCCCATATCGCCCTAATGAACACACCGCCCCTGCCCACGACTACAGACACTGGGGACACGCCCGACACAGCTCTTAGAGGCTACACCAAATGCTAACACGCAGACGGGCCGGTGCGTAGCAAGGAACAGCCGGTGTATAATCTGCAACATGTTCGTAGTTGTCACGGGGAAAGGTCCGATGGATACCTTCATTTGTGAAATATTTATTGAACTTGATGCAGCTAAAGAAAGGATTGTTACTCTTCATGAAGAAATTTAACATTTGACCAAGCGCCTTGAACAGAATAAGGATTCTGGATCATGAGACTATCGGCATCTTTAAATGCTTCCTATCAAAACATCAACGAGGATCATAATGGGACCTTCCTGGACTATGATCAATTTCAGCCACTGCACCCCTCTACTAGCTTGAACCAGAAAATGGCTGCTCACTGTTCGACTCCAGGTGACCGTAAATGGATGCGTGTCAGAACCAGAAAGAAGGAGAAGAATCGTTCTCGGCGCGCCTGCCTTGTTCCTCCGCGTCCGGACTTAAGACTTTCAAATCGCTTTGAGCCCCTTTACCAGCTGTCTTCTGCCAGGGACTTGGGTGTTCCCTCCATGGCTGTGGATGTCCCTCCAGCTACCTCTCTCTGTCCTAGTCAATCAACTGCCTGGGCACAGCCTGGACCACAGCGGCCCCCCTCCGCTGGGCCATGCTCCCTGGATCATAGCTCTGTCCCTTTGGCTGTTGTGGCCTGCACGCAGCCGGTGTCTCAGCAGCCCTCTTCTCAGGTGAGTTCTGTGGCTCTGGCCTAGCAATCAGCTTCGAGACACGGTAGAGGCCGGATCATTCCAGCTATTGTGATAGGGAGTTCGATGGTGAGGCATATATCTGTACCTAGGGCAAAGATTTTTTGTTTTCCTGGGGCAAAACTTCAGGATATCACCAGGTTGCTTCCCGAGGCTGTGCATCAGTCACTGGGGGCTGATACTGTCATGGTTCATGTGGGGTCGAATGACATTATGAAGGGCAGCTCAGAACAGCTGAAGATGGATTTTAAAGAACTGATTGGGTTACTACTTTACACCAACAATCACCCCATAATATCTGTCCCTCTGCCCTCCATAAATCGTGGCATTGAACGGTTCAGCAGACTTTTAGCCCTCCATAACTGGCTACGAGACTATTGCAGCTCTGTGGGTGTAACATTTATTGACAATTTTGATACCTTCTGGAAACAAAGCTTGTATTATAAGGAGGATGGGATCCACCCAAATAATTTGGGTTCCTGGATCCTTTCACAGCTTTATAAGGCTGCGTTGAGACAGTGACTTGTCAATGACCAAAGCCCAGCTCATTTAGTCCCTACCATTGTGTCGCTGAGTTGTCATAATGCTTCAGCAAATGTACATTATCCCAGGGGCGTTGGAAGACACAATGTAAGTAACCTAATTTATGTCCCTCTTACTGCCCTGAATGTCACTGCTGATCCTACAGCTATTGTATGTAGTGATCATATGCCTATGAACCAGAGTTATACTGTTAGCACTCAGGTGGTGTGCCCTAGCAGGAAGTCCACTGTGTGCAGCTCACCCTGCACTAACATAACTAAGCAGAGCATGTCTACCTCTGCTAAGCTTCCCAGTAAAGCAAGAAAAACAATCAAGCATCCCAGAAAAGTGCTACAAATAGCCCACGTTAACATATGTAGCTAAGAAACAAGGTCCATGAAATCAATAATTTGCTAGGAACAGATGACATTCATATTCTGACAATCTCTGAAACTCACTTAGATAATACCTTTGATGATACAGTGGTAGCAATACATGGTTATAAGATCTACAGAAAAGACAGAAATGCCAAAGGTGGAGGTATGGCTGTTTATATTCAGAACCACATTCCTGTAAAGCTTAAATACTGTTGAAGTAATATGGCTACAGGTTCATCTGCCTCACCTAAAGCGCATTCTGGTGGGACGCTGCTATAGACCACCAAGTGCTAACAGTCAGTATCTGGATAACGTGTGAAATGCTTGATAATGTACACTACCAGTCAAACGTTTGGACACACCTACTCATTCAAGGGTTTTTCTTTATTTTTACGGTTTTTTACATTGTAGAATAATAGTGAAGACATCAAAACTATGAAATAACACATATGGAATCATGTAGCAACCAAAAAAGTGTTAAACAAATCAAAATATATTTTATATTTGAGATTCTTCAAATAGCCACCCTTTGCCTTGATGACAGCTTTGCACACTCTTGGCATTCTCTCAACCAGCTTCACCTGGAATGCTTTTCCAACAGTCTTGAAAGAGTTCCCACATATGCTGAGCACTTGTTGGCTTCTTTTCCTTCACTCTGTCATCCGACTTATCCCAAACCATCTCAATTGTGTTGAGGTCGGGGGATTGTGGAGGCCAGGTCATCTGATGCAGCACTCCATCACTCTCCTTCTTGGTAAAATAGCCCTTACACAGCCTGGAGGTGTGTTGGGTCATTGTCCTGTTGAAAAACAAATGATAGTCTCACTATGCCCAAGCCAGATGGGATGGCATATCACAGACAGTGTCACCAGCAAAGCACCCCCACACCATAACACCTCCTCCTCCATGCTTTACGGTGGGAACAACACATGCGGAGATCATCCGTTTCACCCACACCGTGTCTCACAAAGACACGGTAGTTGGAACCAAATATCTAAAATTTGAACAAGTTTCCACCAGTCTAATGTCCATTGCTCGTGTTTCTTGGCCCAAGCAGGTCTCTGCTTCTTATTGGTGTCCTTTAGTAGGGGTTTCTTTGCAGCAAAATCGGCCATGACGGCCTGATTCACACAGTCCCCTCTGACTGTGTGAGGCTGGGACTAATATAGTGTATAAGAGCTCATACAATACATTTTGTAGCGATTCCTATGTTGTTGATGTAAATAATATTTGTTGGTCTGTGGTGTGTAATGAGGAGCAGCTAGACGCTGCACTTGACACATTTATGAAATTGCTTATCCCAGTTACTAATAAGCATGCACCCATTAAGAAAATGACTGTAAAAACTGTTAAATCCCTGTGGATTGATGAGGAATTGACAAACTGTATGGTTGAGATGGATGAGGCAAAATAAATGGCAAATAGGTCTGGCTGTACAACCAATTGGCAAACGTACTGCAAATTGAGAAATCATGTGACTAAACTGAATAAAAAGAAGAAGAAACTACACAATGAAAGAAAGATAAATGACATAAAGAATGACAGTAAAAAGCTTTGGATCACCTTAAATGAAATTTTGGGCAAAAAGGCAAACTCCGCTCCATCATTCATTGAATCAGATGGCTCATTCTGTCACACTCTGATCTGTTTCACCTGTCTTTGTGATTGTTTCCACCCCCCGCCAGGTGTCGCCCATCTTCCCCATTATCCCCAGTGTATTTATACCTGTGTTCTCTGTTTGTCTGTTGCCAGTTCGTTTTGTTTCGAAATGCCTACCAGCGTTTTTCCCCTTGCTCCTGTCTTTCTCAAGTTCCTGTTTTCTAGTTTTCCCGGTTTTGACCATTCTGCCTGCCCTGACCCTGAGCCTGCCTGCTGTTCTGTACCTTGTCACACCACCCTGGATTATTGACCTCTGCCTGCCCTGACCCTGAGACTGCCTGCCGTTCTGTACCTTTTGGACTCTGATCTGGATTACTGACCTCTGCCTGCCCTTGACCTGTCGTTTGCCTGCCCCCTGTTTTTGTAAGAAACTTTTGTTACTTCGACACTGTCTGCATCTGGGTCTTCTCCTGAAACGTGATAGTATGAACTGGCCATGACTGACCCAGCAGACCCGGACCAGCTCTGCAACGCCATCTCCTCTCAAGGAGCCACCATTGGAAGGCACGAGGAGTTGCTTCGTGGTCTCATGGAAGTGTTCCAGACCTTGGCCGAATGTCATGACCGAGCATTTAACACATTGCTGGAGCAATTCCGCAGGTTATCTGTTAGATAGCCTACCATGAAGGTAACCTCCCAGCCCCTCAGTAACCCGGCTGTTAGCAGCACCGTCTCCCCGGCCACCCCGGTTTCCCAAGAACCCTGCTTACCGTGCAGCTCAGTTGGTAGAGCATGACGCTTGCAATGCCAGGGTTGTGGGTTCGTTTCCCACGGGGGGCCAGTATGAAAATGTATGCACTCACTAACTGTAAGTCGCTCTGGATAAGAGCATCTGCTAAATGACTAAAATGTAAAAATACCTCCCCCGGAACGCTTTGTTGGAGAGTCGGGAACCTGTCGGGCATTTCTTGCTCAGTGTTCGTTCATCATCGAGCTGCAGCCCTCCTCCTTCCCCTAGGATCGCTCGAAGATAGCGTACCTCATCACACTGATGTCCGGGAGGGCTCTCGCCTGGGCTACGGCAATTTGGGAACAACAGTCAGCGGTATGCTTCAGTCTGGAGGAGTTCATGCAGGAGGTAAAGAAGGTTTTCGATGCTCCATTGTCCGGGAGAGAGGCTGCCCGGAAGTTACTCCAGCTTCGGCAAGAATCCCGCAGTGTGGCAGACTATGCAGTGGATTTCCGCACATTGGTAGCTGAGTGTGCCTGGAACGCGGAAGCGCTGTTCGACACGTTCCTGCACAGAGTATCGGAGGAAGTAAAGGACGAGCTTGCAGTCCGGGAACTACCAACGGATATCGACTCGCTCATTGCCTTGACCATTCGGATCGATGGGTGACTACGGGAACGAAGGAAGGAGAGGAAGTCCGATTCCACTCGCCCGCCCAAGGATTCCACCTCGCCACCGAGGCATCCCGGAAGTCCCCGATGGCTCCGTTGCCGAGAGAACCCGAGGCTACCCGAGTTCCCCCGAGAGTCTCCAAAGTCTGCCGATTCACCTCTTCCCGAGCTGATGCAACTAGGCAGAGCTAGGCTGTCTCCAGCCGAACTGCAATACAGGCTTCACACAAAGAGTTGCCTGTATTGTGGGACTACTGGTCATTTTGTGTCCACCTAAAAGACCAGGCTCACCGGTAGGAGCGAGTACTCTGGTGGGCCATACAATACCACCCCCATCAACCTACGAGTATCAGGGAACCACAGCGAGATTATTCAATTTCCGTTAATTAAGTCTCCTCAGGTTCCTTTGGTATTGGGTTTCTCTTGGCTCCAGCGACACAACCCCTTTATTGACTGGTCTACTGGTACCATCATGGGCTGGAGCCCGTTCTGCCACGCTCATTGCCTGAAGTCAGCGCAGCCTGCCTGCGGAGTGCTGGGTTCATCCGTCCTTCTGCCACCCCTGCCGGCGCAGGGTTCTTCTTTGTGGAGAAGAAGGACAAAACCCTGCGCCCGTGCATCGACGACATCACAGTGAAGAACCGCTACCCGCTACCACTCATCTCCTCGGCCTTCGAGCCGCTCCAGGGGGCCAATGTGTTCTCCAAGCTGGACCTACGGAACGCCTACCACCTGGTGCGGATTCGGGAGGGGGACTAGTGGAAGACTGCCTTCAACACGGCCAGTGGTCACGTCAAGTATCTGGTCATGCCATTTGGCCTTACCAGTGCTCCAGCTGTGTTCCAGGCCCTGGTTAATGATGTTCTCCCCGACATGTTGAACCGGTTCGTCTTCGTCTACCTCGACGACATCCTCGTGTTCTCCCACTCCACCCAAGAACACGTGATCCATGTCCGACAGGTCCTCCAACGCCTCCTGAGAAAACCAGCTTTTTGTGAAAGCGTAGAAATGCGAATTCCATCGCTCCACCATCCCCTTCCTGGGCTACATCATCACTGCAGGGAGTGTACAGATGGATCCCGGGAAGGTGAGAGCGGTGGTGGATTGGCCCCAGCCTACGTCCAGAGTGCAGCTGCATCGTTTCCTGGGATTCGCCAACTTTCATCACCGCTTTATCCGGGGTTACAGCACACTGGCTTCCCCCTTGTCTGCACTCACCTCTCCCAAGGTTCCGTTCACATGGTCCCCAGCTGCTTACTGGGCGTTCCGGGACCTCAAACACTTTCAGTTTCACTACTGCTCCAATCTTGGTTCATCCTGACCCGTCCCGCCAGTTCATGGTGGAGGCCGATGCTTTGGATATCAGAGTGGGGGCAGACCTGTACCAGCGTTTGGCCCTGGACCTCAAGTTACATCCCTGCGCCTTCTTCTCCCATCGCCTCAACACCACGTAGAGGAATTACGATGTGGGGAATCGTGAGCTTCTCACGGTGAAGATGGCGTTGGAGGAGTGGAGGAACTGGCTGGAGGGGGCAGAACATCCGTTTATTGTGTGGACAGACCACAAGAACTTGGAATATCTCCGCACCGCCAAGCGTCTCAATTCCAGTCAAGCTAGGTGGGCCCTGCTTTTCACCCGGTTCAACTTCTCCCTCTCATACCGAGAATGTCAAGCCAGATGCACTGTCATGCCGCTATAGCCCCGCAGCTACACCCCCGGAATCCGAGACCATCCTTCCCACCTCGTGCTTGGCGATGGCACTCAGGGAATAGGGAAGCAGGTCCGGGAGGCGCAGCATTCCCAGCCGAACCCCGGGGAGGCCCAGATAGCCGGATGTTTGTTCCTGATGCTGTCCGCTCCTCGGTCCTGGAGTGGGCCCACTCCTCCTGGCTTGCCTGCCACCCGGGCTCCCGCCGTCCCTGGCCTTTGTGCGACAACGCTTTTGGTGGCCTACCATGATTCCTGACGTCTCCGCGTTCGTCGCCGCCTGCACGATCTGTGCGCAGAACAAGGTTCCCCGGCAAGCTCCGGCTGGTCACCTCCAACCTCTGCCTGTTCCTCACTGTCCCTGGTCTCACATATCCCTGGACCTTGTCATGGGTCTTACCCTGTCTGATGGCAACACCGCCATCCTGACAGTTGTGGACCAGTTTTCCAAAGCCGCCCACTTCATTCCTCTCCCCAAGCTACCCTCTGTCAAAGAGACGGCCCAGCTCATGGTGCAGCATGTCTTCCGGATCCATGGACTCCCAGTGGACATGGTCTCCGACCGGGGTCCTCAGTTCTCGTCCCGGTTCTGGAAGGCGTTCTGCACACTCATTGGGTCGTCGGTCAGCCTGTACTCTGGTTTCCACCCTCAGTCCAATGACTAGTCGGAGCGAGCCAACCAAGACCTGGAGACGACTCTGCGCTGCCTGGTCTCCGCCAACCCCACCACCTGGAGCCAGCAACTAGTGTGGGTCGAATAGGCCCGCAACACCCTTCCCTGCTCTGCCATGGGTCTTTCCCCCAAGATCTGTGTGGGCAGCCCGCAAACTGTCCCCCCGGTTTATCGTCCCTTTCCCCATCTCCAAGATCATTAGCCCCTCTGCTTTTCCTCTTCTGTTGCCCCGTTCCCTCTGTATACATCCCACTTTTCATATGTCTAGGATCAAACCCATGTCTCACAGCCCTTTGGCCCTCAGGCCTGGAGGGAAGCAAAAGTTATTCCCCTACCTAAGGATAGTAAATCCCCCTTTACTGGCTCAAATAGCCAACCAATCAGCCTGTTACCAACCCTTAGTAAACTTTTGGAAAAAATTGTGTTTTACCAGATACAATGCTATTTTGCTGTAAACAAATTGACAACAGCCTTTCAGCACGCTTATAGGGAAGGACATTCAACATGCAAGGCACTTACACAAACTTCTAATGATTGGCTGAGAGAAATTGATGATAAAAAGATTGTGGGAGCTGTTTTGCTAGACTTCAGTGCGGCTCTTGACATTATTGATCATAGTCTGCTGCTGGAAAAATGTATGTGTTATGGCTTTACACCCCCTGCTATATTGTGGATAAAGAGTTAACTGTCTAAAAGAACAAACAGGGTGTTCTTTAATGGAAGCCTCTCCAACATAATCAGGAATTCCCCAGGGCAGCTGTCTAGGCCCCTTACTTTTTTCAATCTTTACTAATGACATGCCACTGGCTTTGAGTAAAGCCAGTGTGTGTGTATGTATGCGGATGACTCAACACTATACACGTCAGCTACCACAGCGACTGAAATGACTGCAACACTTAACAAAGAGCTGCAGTTAGTTTCAGAATGGGTGGCAAGGAATAAGTTAGTCCTAAATATTAAAAAAAAACTAAAAGCATTGTATTTGGGACAAATCATTCACTAAACCCTAAATCTCAACTAAATCTTGTAATGAATAATGTGGTAATTGAGCAAGTTGAGGAGACTAAACTGCTTGGAGTAACCCTGGATTGTAAACTGTCATGGTCAAAACATATTGATACAACAGTAGCGAGGATGGGGTGAAGTCTGTCCATAATAAAGCGCTGCTCCGCATTCTTAACAGCACTATCAACAAGGCAGGTCCTACAGGCCCTAGTTTTGTCGCACCTGGACTACTGTTCAGTCGTGTGGACAGGTGCCACAAAGAGGGACTTAGGAAAATTGCAATTGGCTCAGAACAGGGCAGCATGGTTGGCCTTTGGATGTACACAGAGCGCTAACATTAATAATATGTATGTCAATCTCTCCTGGCTCAAAGTGGAGGAGAGATTGACTTCATCACTACTTGTATTTGTGAGAAGTATTAACATGTTGAATGCACCGAGCTGTCTGTTTGAACTACTGGCACACAGCTTGGACACACATGCATACCCCACAAGACGTGCCACCAGAGGTCTCTTCACAGTCCCCAAGTCCAGAACAGACTATGGGAGGCGCACAGTACTACATAGAGCCATGACTACATGGAACTCTATTCCACATCAAGTAACTGATGCAAGCAGTAAAATGTGATTTAAAAAACAGATAAAAATACACCTTATGGAACAGTGGGGACTGTGAAGCAACACAAACATAGGCAGAGACACGTGCATACAAACACACGATAACATACACACTATACACACACGTACACATGGATTTTGAATGTTTGTGGTAGTAGAGTAGGGGCCTGAGGGCACACACTTAATATGTTGTGAAATCTGTTGTGAATGTATTGTAATGATTAAAATGTTTTATAACTGCCTTAATTTTGCAAGGCAGCAGCTAATGGGGATCCATAATAAATACAATACAATGGGCTTTGGTCATGAAATACTGTAGTTAGTACATTCCCCAAGCTGAGAGAAAAGTAATTCTGTAGTCTATTTGGTTTTCTTTTACAGATGTCTCCGGTGGTGATCGTACTAGTGTCTGATGGGAAAAGGTGTTTGCTGGGGAGGCAGTCCTCCTTCCCACAGGGGATGTACAGTGCATTGGCAGGCTTCTGTGACATGGGTGAGTCTCACATGCCGCACATTTCAAACCAATGAGGCATGTGTATTGACTATTTATAACATGTCCATTACATAGGCTATATCCAGTTATTACAAATATGCTTCCCAGGTGTAAACAGCATGAGAGATGTAACTTACTTATCCATAACTGTACACGTTAAGACTATTCTATTACTGTTCCTGAATGTGTTTCCCTCAACAGGTGAGCCCATGGATGAGACACTCCGCAAGGAGATAGCTGAGGAGGTGGGGTTGGAGTCTATCCACCTCTTTAAGGAATACCTGGGATAGGATAAAGTAATCCTTCTACCCCCCCCCCCCCCCCCCCCCCCCAAAAAAAAATTGTAAAGTGGTTATCCCACTGGCTATAGGGTGAATGCACCAATTTGTGAGTCGCTCTGGATAAGAGCGTCTGCTAAATGACGTAAATGTGCCCTTGAGCAAGGCACTTAACCCTAATTGCTCCTGTAAGTCGCTCTGGATAAGAGCGTCTGCTAAATGACTAAAATGTAAATGTAAATGTACTCAGGCTCTCCGCACTGGCCCTTCACACAGAGCGCCTTCATGATGGCCTGTCACGCCACCATCAACCCAGAAAAGACACAGGTCAGTCAGTGGCTGCCTCTCTATCCTAACCCTCTTTGTGTTTTAATACATTCATGTTGCTTGAGTGTGAGCAAGACATCTAGACAAAGCCTTATCCACAGGGCAGGACTAATTTAAATCTGGGGTCGTGGGCAATAAAAAAATGTTGGCCTGTTTCTGGGCGGTCGAGATAACATTTTGCAGTTCTACAGATAATTTCCTGCAATTCTACACATTTCGCCATGGTTGTACATTTTGTGTCCAAGAACTGCCAGATCCCTACATTTGTTTTGTCAAATTGTTTTTTGTTCATTTCATTTTTAAAGCTAATTTGAGATTCTACTTTTAATGAAAATCGCTATATAAATCTTGTATTATTTATTATTATGAAATTAAAATGTTCCTATGTCAATACACAGTGTATATTGAAACAGGATATTATAAGTTGAAAACGGAATTAACTGTATGTAGCTGATCTGAACTGCTTTGCCTAACAGGTCAGTGTGGATAAGGTGGAGGACGCACAATGGTTCAGCCTTCATGAAGTCCAAGAGGCTCTGAAGATCAAGGAACCACCTCGGAACAACAAAAGAAAAAGGTCAGACTCTGCTCGATGTTTTGAAGGTGGGTAATGGTTTCAGTTACTTTGCATCACGTTGGTTGACTAACTAACTGTCTTACCTTGATCATGGCCACCAGGCTGTCCTCGATGTCCAGGCCCATCTCTTTCTGCATCTCTTCTGTCTCTTTATGCTCTTTATCGGCCTGGAAAAACATTGACACCAAAACATTACTAGCTTAAATGGTGATTTATGCATTTGGTGAACATAAAGATGTTCACATGTATCAGCTAGCTACTGTATGTCAATGATAAGAGCATGAGATAAAACTAACTAAGAATGCATTGAGATACATGTAGAGTAGTAGATTAGTTCACACACCTTGCGTTTGCAGCTGCTTTTCTTCTTAGCGGTCTCGTTGGTGAAAGCCTTGAGAGCCTGCAGCAGCTTGGAGTCGATGGCACTCTTGTGGATGGCTCTGATCCGTGGCTCGTCCTCCAGGGTGGCACACAGCACCTTCTCCATGATCCTGTCCATGTCGTGCTTCTCCTCCTCATATTTCTTGTAGGACTTCTCAAAGTTCAGGATGTCTTGCAGTGTGATCTGCAAAGAGAAAGCACAGTCTCCTATGACATAACTGTAATCATGTCCAGGCCTAAGACCTTCTGAATGTAAAGTGTTAATTCATATATCTAACAAGGTTTGAAAGGTAAACAAACATTCACACATGTTGGCTTGCCTACCTGGAACTTGGCAGTGGCTTGCTCTTCACCTGGTGCTCTAGTCAGGGTGGACTTTATAATAACCCAGTTGAACCTCTGCTTCTGATGCATCCTTTGTGACACTGATGACATCATAAAAGTTTGACGTCTTGTACAGCTCCTCACACTGATCCAGTAAACTCATGTCTGCTTCCCCTAACATAGGGCGAATGACGCAAAATACAACATAAATGTCAACAATGTGTGGGAAATTAAATGGCAGTGATATAGCATAGTTAGTTAATTAGCTACCCAATAGCTCATTCAATAGTCGGTAATATTAAACATTATACTGTCTATTTACAAAGCTGTCTGCCACCTGAGCTGAGGGTAATTCCTGACGCTCAGATGCTGCCCAAACGCTCAGTCTAAACGCAAATACGCCTCGCATGCGATACAGTTTTGGAAACATTTGGATCTTAACTTTCATATAAGCGATATATTTTTTTCAAATACAATCCATAAACTTACTGTACGCAGTTTAGGAAAGTTACACGTGGCTGTATTTTGAGAAACACCGAAAATGGGGAATGGAATGGTCCTATGGAAATGGGGAATGGAATGGTCCTATGGAAATGGGGAATGGAATGGTCCTATGGAAATGCGAACGCAAGGTAAGAGGATAAAATAAAATAAAATAAAATGTATTGGTCACATACACATGGTTAGCAAATGTTATTGCGAGTGTAGTGAAATGCTTGTGCTTCTAGTTCCGACAGTGCAGCAATATCTAGCAAGTGATATCTAACAGTTCCACAACAAAAACCTAATACACACAATCTAAGTAAAGGAGTGGAATAAGAATATATACATATATGGATGAGCAATGTCATTATCAGAGTGGCATAGGCTATGATGCAATAGATAGTATAGAATACAGTATATACAGTTGAAGTCGGAAGTTTACATACACCTTAGCCAAATAAATTTAAACTCAGTTTTTCACAATTCCTGACATTTAATCCTAGTAAAAATTCCCTGTCTTAGGTCAGTTAGGATCACCACTTTATTTTAAGAATCTGAAATGTCAGAATAATAGTAGAGAGAATTATTTATTTCAGCTTTTATTTCTTTCATCACATTCCCAGAGGGTCAGAAGTTTACATACACTCAATTAGTATTTGGTAGCATTGCCTTTTACATTGTTTAACTTGGGTCAAACATTTTAGGTAGCCTTCCACAAGCTTCCCACAAAAAGTTGATTGAATTTTGGCCCATTCCTCCTGACAGAGCTGGTGTAACTGAGTCAGGTTTGTAGGCCTCCTTGCTCGCACACGCTTTTTCAGTTCTGCCAACACATTTTCTATAGGATTGAGGTCATGGCTTTGTGATGGCCACTCCAATACATTGACTTTGTTGTCCTCAAGGTATTTTGCCACAACTTTGGAAGTATGCTTGGGGTCATTGTCCATTTGGAAGACCATTTGCGACCAAGCTTTAACTTCCTGACTGATGTCTTGAGAGGTTGCTTCAATATATCCACATAATTTTCCTTCCTCATGATGCCATCTATTTTGTGAAGTGCACCAGTCCCTCCTGCAGCAAAGCACCCCCACAGCATGATGCTGCCACCCCTGTGCTTCACGTTTGGGATGGTGATCTTCGGCTTGCAAGCTACCCCGTTTTTCCTCCAAACATAACAATGGTCATTATGGCCAAACAGTTCTATTTTTGTTTAATCAGACCAGAGGACATTTCTCCAAAAAGTACGATCTTTGTCCCCATGTGCAGTTGCAAACCGTAGTCTGCCTTTTTTTGGGCGGTTTTGGAGCAGTGGCTTCTTCCTTGCTGAGCGGCCTTTCAGATTATGTCGATATAGGACTCGTTTTACTGTGGATATAGATACTTTTGTACCTGTTTCCTCCAGCATCTTCACAAGGTCCTTTCCTGTTTTTCTGGGATTGATTTGCACTTTTCGCACCAAAATACGTTCATCTCTATGAGACAGAATGCGTCTCCTTCCTGAGCGGTATGAAGGCTGCATGGTCCCATGGTGTTTATACTTGCGTACTATTGTTTGTACAGATGAAAGTGATACCTTCAGGCATTTGGAAATTGCTCCCAAGGATGAACCAGACTTGTGGAGGTCTACAATTTCTTTTTTGAGGTCTTGGCTGATTTCTTTTGATTTTCCCATGATGTCAAGCAAAGAGGCACTAAGTTTGAAGGTAGGCCTTGAAATACATCCACAGGTACACCAACAATTGACTCAAATGATGTCAATTAGCCTATCAGAAGCTTCTAAAGCCATGACATCCTTTTCTGGAATTTCCCAAGCTGTTTAAAGGCACAGTCAACTTAGTGTATGTAAACCTCTGACCCACTGGAATTGTGATACAGTGAATTATAAGTGAAATAATCTGTCTGTAAACAATTGTTGGAAAAATTACTTGTGTCATGCACAAAGTAGATGTCCTAACTGACTTGCCAAAACTATAGTTTGTTAACAAGAAATGTGTGGAGTGGTTGAAAAACGAGTTTGAATGACTCCAACCTAAGTGTATGTAAACTTCCGACTTCAACTGTACATATGAGATGGGTAATGCAAGATATGTAAACATTATTAAACTGGCATTATTAAAGTGACTAGTGTTCCATTTATTAAAGTGGCCAGTGATTTTCAAGTCTGTATGAAGGCAGCAGCCTCTCTGTGCTAGTGATGGCTGTTTAACAGTCTGATGGTCTTGAGATAGAAGCTGTTTTTCAGTCTCTCGGTCTCAGCTTTTATGCACCTGTACTGACCTCTCCTTCTGGATGGTAGTTGTCCTTGATTGTCTTTTTGGCCTTCTTGTGACATCGGGTGCTGTGGGTGTCCTTGAGGGCAGGTAGTTTGCCCCCAGTGAGGCGTTGTGCAGACCGCCCCACCCTCTGGAGAGCCCTGCGGTTGTGGGCGGTGCAGTTGCCGACCAGGCGGTGATACAGCGGTGATACAGCCCGACAGGATGCTCTCAATTGTGCATCTGTAATAGTTTGTGAGTGTTCTCCTGCCACTAGAGATCCTGGTTCGAATCCAGGCTCTGTCGTAGCCGGCTGCGACCGGGAGACCCATGGGGCGGCGCACAATTGGCCCAGCGTCGTCCAGGGTAGGGGAGGGAATGGCCGGCAGGGATGTAGCTCAGTTGGTAGAGCATTGGGTTTGCAACGCCAGGGTTGTGGGTTCGATTCCCACGGTGGGCCAGTATGAAATATAAAAATGTATGCACGCACTAACTGTAAGTCGCTCTGGATAAGAGCGTCTGCTAAATTACAAAAATGTTTTGTTTTTTATGTAAATGTGAGGGTTTTAGGTGACAGGCTCCTGAGGTTGAAGAGATGCTGTTGCACCTTCTTCACCACACTGTCTGTGTGGGTGGACAATTTCAATTTGTCAGTGATATGTACGCAGAGGAACTTAAAACTTTCCACCTTATCCACTGCTGTCCCTCTCTTATATGACAACGCAATTTCTCGCTTATGAAAGTTAAGTTCGAAAGGGTTCCAAAACCGTATTGCAAGTGAGCCGTATTTGCGTTTAGACAGAGCATCGGGATTTTAAAAAATCTTTATTTTAACAGGGAAAAACAGACTGAGACCTGGATCTCTTTTACGGCTGTGCCCTGTGTAAACATGTTGACATGTACAGTTTTAGACATACAGACAAGAACATTTCAAACATACAAAACAAAAACACAATTCAACAGAAACAATCACAGACAACATCATATTGATCCTCCATCAAATTTTTTAAATGGGCAAGGGACACCAGAGTGTCTAACTTAAGTTGGATCTGCAGTTTGTTCCATAAATAAGGTGCAAAGGAACTGAAGGCAGTCCTACCCAACTCTGTGGAGACCACAGGAGTCTCTAATGTAATCCACATCTGTGATCTGGTTTTAAAATTAGTATATCTAGTGGAAATGAATGATGATATATATGGAGGTAGTTTTAAAAGAAGTGCTTTATAAATAAACAAGAGAGCATGTTGCTCTCGCCTCACAGATAGAGAGGCCCAACCCACATGTTGATATAGGAAACAGTGATGAGTTTTGTAACTATCACCCGTGATAAACCTGAGTGCACAATGGTAAATAGCATCCAGTGGTTTTAATGTGTTTGCCGATGCATGCATATAGATAATATCACCATAATCTAAAACGGACATAAAAGTAGTCTGCACAATTTGTTTTCTATTTACGGAGGACAGACAAGCCCTGTTTCTGTAAAGGAACCCTATCTTGAATTTGAGCTTTTTTCCCAATTCAGTAACATGTTTTTTAAAAGAAAGCCTATCATCTAACCATACCCCTAAGTATTTATATGCAGAGACCTGTTTGATTTGAGTACCATCCAAGCTAGTGATTACAAAATTGTTTCTAATTGAGAGTTTAGACCTAGAAAAAAACATGACATTTGTTTTCTTAGCGTTTAAAACAAGTTTAAGCTGTAAAAGAGACCCCTGTAGTATCCTGAAATCAGACTCCAACTGCATTAAAGCTTGGTCCGCTGTTGGAGCAATAGAGTACATCACTGTGTCATCTGCATATAAATGGAATTTACAATATCTGACATCATCACCAATGTTGTTTATATAAAGTGAGAACAATAGTGGGCCAATTATTGAACCCTGAGGGACCCCTTTAAGTAACTGTAAGGGGTCAGACTTGACCCCGTCGACCATGACGGCCTGAGTTCTATCTTTAAGATAGTCATAAAACCATTGACAGACATCAGTGCCCAGTCCTATAGATGACAGCTTACTCAAAAGGATAGCATGGTCTACAGTGTCAAAAGCTTTTGACAAATCTACAAACAACGCTTGACAAATCTA